TGCCTCAGGAGTGTCTCCTATATGTGTTGTGCGTTCCCTACTTCTGTGGTGGTTCCTTGTTTGCCTTCAGTCAAGCTCCCTACAATGGCTCTCTCTGTTGTGGGCAGGACTTGTGCTGTTAGTGGACCAGTCTGGGGTTACCTTAGGCTTGAGCTGAGTCAGACTAGACATTTGCCAGAGCTGTGGTAGCACTGAACTGCAAGGTGCTATCCCTGTGTTGTCCTCTGAGAAGCTTTCATTGTTGAGTGGGCCTACAGTCAGACCAGATGTCTGCCCCCAGCCCACTGCTGGAACCTAAATCAGATGAATGTGTATGGTTATGGAATGGTGCTGGCCCCTGTCAGGGCTGCTTGCACATTGCCAAGCTTGTGGCATTGCTTTGGATGGACTCCCAGGAAGGGTAGGTCTACAAGAGAATGTGAATGGGTGCACATTGTTAGGAAATTGTATGCTAGTCTGCTGCAGGAGGGGATCCGTGTCCTGGAGAACTGCCAAGGGCAGATCTGCAGAAGAATGCAGGGGTGGGGGATAAAGTGCCAGCAAGGTCTCACCAGTTTGGAGAAAGGAGGTTTGAGGAAGATCATTAGGGCAGGGTGTGCTATTAGCAAGCTAGGCATAGAGGGTTTGGGCTTCACTGTCTTCTGAAGGTATCTCTGTATCTAGTTTAAGGGTCTGGGAAGGGAAATGGTGCCCATCAGCTCCTTTGTTCTTGGAGAAGCTTCCCAAAGATCCCCGTCCCTACCAGACTTGCTCTGAGAATAGTAAATAAATCTCCTTCCTGTGTACCCCAGACATTTTTTAAATTGCTACATCTCAATGGAGCTGTTTGTGGTGACTTGTCTTTAAGGGTGTGAACTCTATTTTCTGTTGCTCTCCAGCGATCCCAGGGCCCAACCCTCTGATTTTTAAAGTTCCAGGTGTTAAGCCCCACTGACTATAAGAACTCACTAAGTCGGCCCATCTGATTTTCAAAGCCAAATGTTGTGGGAATTCATCTTCCCAATGTGAGTCCCCTGGCCTGGGGTGTCTGGTGGGGGTCTTATCCTTTCCCCTCTCTATGCCTGTGGTGTCCCTCCTATAGATTATTTTGGCTCCTGACCAGGTCTCTGCCCTTCCTATCCTTTTCAATGTGGCCTTCTGTCTGCATTTAACTGTGGAAAGTCTGTTCTTCCAGTTTTCAAGTTGTTTACTGGGTTACTTGCCCTGATGTGGGTGTTCTCTGTATGTATCTGTGGAACAAAGTGTGCTTAGGATTCTCCTATTGTGCCATGTCTTGTTGTGGTTTTGATTTGCATTTTCCTGATGATTAGTGATGTTGAGGAATTTTTCATGTGTGTGTGTGTTGGCCCATCTGTATGTCTTCTTTGGAAAAAATGTCTTTTCATGTTCTCTGTACATTTTTTAACTGGATTGTTTGGTGGTTTTTGGTGTTGAGTTGTATAAGTTCTTTATATATATTTTTGATATTAATCCCTTATCAGATTTATCATTTGCAAATATCTCCTCCCATTTAGTAGGTTGCCTTTGGTTTCATTAATGGTTTCCATCAGTGCAAAACCTTTTTTATTTTGATATCCCAATAGTTGATTGTTGCTTTTGTTTCCCTTGCTTGAAGAGATATATCTAGAAAAATGTTTTTATGGCTCATGACTTGTGTCAAAGAAATTACTGCCTATGTTTTCATCTAGGAATTTTATGGTTTCCAGTCTCAAATTTAAGTCTTTAATCCATTTTGAGTTTATTTCTGTGTATAGGGTAATAAAGTGGTCCAGTTTCATTCTTTCACATATAGGTGTGCAGTTTTCCCAGCATTATTTATTTATTTTTTTAAGAGGGGGAAGGGTGGGTGGAAAGGGAGAGAGAAAATCTCTTGAGCAAACTTCATGCCCAGCATGAAGCCCAACATGGGGCTTGATCCCACAGCCCTGAGATCATGACATCAGCCAAAATAAAGAGTTGGATGCTGAATGGACTGAGCCACTCCAGCACCCCTAAAAGCACTAAGTTTTTACTAACCCCCCCATATTTATGTATATGATGTCATACTTTACATTTTTTAAAATTTTGTGTATCCTTTAGCTGATTTTTATAGATATAATTGTTTTACTCCTTTTGTGCTTTATCTCCAAACCAGTTTTATAACTGATTAATCTACTTTTACTGTATATTTGCATCTACTTGTGAATTTTTTTTTCCTTTCATAGTTTTCTTACTCTTTTTAAAAAAAGATTTTATTTATTCATTCATGAGAGACACAGAGAGGCAGAGACACAGGCAGAGGGAGAAGCAGGCTCTTCATGGTGAGCCCAATGTGGGACTCAGTCCCAGGACTCTGCGATCATGACTTGAGCCAAATGCAGATGCTCAACCACTGAGCCACTCAGACACCCTTTAGTTGTCTTATTCTTGATTATGGCTTTTTTTTTTCCACTTAAAGAATTCCCTTTAACATTTCTTTGAAGGCTGGTTTAGTAATCATGAACTTCCTTTAACTTTGAGAAACTCTTTATCTCTCTTTCAATTCTGAATAATAGTCTTGCTGACTAGAGTATTCTTGGTTGCAGGTTGTTTTTTCTTTCAGCACTTTGAATATGTCATGCCACTCTTCTGGGTTGTAAAGTTTCTGCTGAAAAATCAGCTAATAGGCTTATGGGGTTTGCCTAGTATATACAGTTTTCTTTTACTGCTTTTAAAATTCTCTCTCACTCCTTTTTGTCATTTTATTTTATTTTATTTTTTTATTTATTTATGATAGTCACACACAGAGAGAGAGAGAGAGAGGCAGAGACACAGGCAGAGGGAGAAGCAGGCTCCATGCACCGGGAGCCCGACGTGGGATTCGATCCGGGGTCTCCAGGATCGCGCCCTGGGCCAAAGGCAGGCGCCAAACCGCTGCGCCACCCAGGGGTCCCAGTCATTTTAATTACAATGTGTAGAACTCCTTGTATTAATTCTGTTGGGTGCTCTCTCTGCCTCCTGGGTCTGGATGTCTCTTTCCTTTCTCAGTTTAGGAAAGGGTTTCAGCTATTATTTCTTCAAATTTTCTGCCTCCTTCTCTCTCTCTTCTGGGATCCTTACAATGTGTATGTTATGCTTGATGACATCACTGAGTGTCCTTAACCTATCCTCATTCTCTATTATATTTTTTTCTGTTTGCTGTTCAGTATGGCTGCTTTCCTTTACATTTGTCTTCCAGATCACTGATCTGTTCTTCTGCATCCTCTAATCTGCTATTGATTTCCTCTAGTGCATTTTTCATTGCAGTTATTGAGTTCTTCATCTCTAGTTCTTATATTTCATATCTCTTTATTGAAGTTCTGAGATCCTTCACTCATTTCTCAAGTCTGGTGAGTATCCTTATGACCTTTACTTTGAGTTGTTCATCAGGCATATTTGTTTCATTTGGCTCTTCTGCTGTGTTTTTATCCTGTTTTTTCATTTGGCCTTTATTTCTCTGTGTCCTCATTTTCATGTAACTCTGGCTTTTTTTTCTATGTATTAGAAAAGTCAGCTACATCCCCTGATCTTGAAAGTAAGCACTGGCCTTATTAGAAGAGGTCCTGTAGTGGCCTGTGGTGCAATGCTCCCTGTTTACGAGATCCAGGCACTTCAGTGGCATCGCCTTTGTGGGTTGTGTGCACACCACTGTTGTGGCTGAATCACACTTTACCTATAGTCAAGTCAGTTGCAGTGGCCCTCTTTGCCTGCTTTATGTGCACTAGGCAGGGTTTGGTCCTTGTGCTGTTAAAGGGACATTGTAGGGCTGCTGAGGGCTTGTAGTTAGGTGATATCAGCATTCAAATCAAATGCCTCCTCTCATCCCATCTGCTGGGACTATAGTTGCACAGAGTCATAGGGCACTGTCCTTTCCTTGTCCCCTGAGAGGCTTTGTTGGTGGGCAGGGCCTGCACTCAGACCAGATGTCTGTCTCTAGTCAGTATGTGGGGGCTGCTGGCTCAGTGCTCAGCTGGGTACTCTCATTGGGCTGCCAGCCATAAGGTTCAGCTGCTGGGACTGGGGACACACTGGCATGTGGGATATCTTCCTCTCCCCAGGGTAGGAGTCACTTTGGAAGGATGCCTTTGGTGCATGGCAGGTTGGAGTGTGCCTGTCTGCAGGGGAATGCAGGGGCAGGGCACTAGTTGTCAACAAGATAGGTGGAAAGCATTCATGCTGTTTCCTGCAAGTGTCTGGCCAACTAGGTTGGGGCTAAGCAGGGAGGAAGAGAAATGGCAACCACGACACTTTTGTTCTATGATGGTCTCCTAAGGATCCCTCCAACATACATTCTGAGATTAGTAAATAAATCTTCCTGTATACTCCGGGTGCTTTCAAACAGCTGCTTCTATGCTGTGTCTCAGCAGGGTTATTTGTTATGCTGGCACCTTAAGGGTGAGGACTCAGTTTCCTCTTATCCTCCAGCTCTCCTAGAGCTAAGTCTACTGATTTTTAAAGTACCAGAATTAAGCCCTGCTGATTTTACAGACTCATGAAGTTAAGCCCCACTGGTTTTCAAAGTTAAATGTTATGGAGCCTTTTCTTGTCAGTGTGGGTCCCTCATGACTGGGGTGCTTGGCTTGAGGTCTGATTTTCTGGCTTCTTGTGGTGTATCTACTGTTTGTGGGTTAGTTTTGTTGGGACTTAGGTTCCTAACCATGTCTCTGCCATTCCTACCCTTTTCAATGTGGCCACCTCTCTGTGAAAGCCTGTTCTGCTAGTCCTTGGGTCACTTTCAAAGATAGTTATGCAGATATGGCTGTTATCTCAGTGTGTCCATGGGTTGAGATGAGCTCAGGAGCCTCCTACTCTACCATCTTCCCAGAAGCAAATCAACTCTAGAGTTTTAAATATCAAGTTTTCCTAAGGGAAGGTATACATAGCCTCTGATGATGATTCAGAAATTCAAAATAACCCCTCTCTGAATGTGGTTCAGGCAACCTAATACACTGGTGCCCTGCTTATTTAACTCTGAGATAATTGTGGATTTTATGTTTGAGCAGGAAAAAGTGAAGCAAGAACTCAAACACTTACGAGATCAAGAAAGCCAGAAGATTAAAAGTCATTACGAAACTCTAAAGAACTTAGAAAATGAAATCTATGTGCATGACTTAAAAGTAGATGCTTTGCTCCTGGAAAATGAAAGATTAAGAGAAGTAAGTTCAAGAGCACTTCACTTTGCATGATGATTTTGATTGATTGCCTAGATCTATACTAGTTATAAGAGAAAAGATTATAGCAAGACTAAAGTATATATAAAACAGTGCACAAATCACAGGTGAAACAAATGATAAACAGACATGGGTAACCAGCACCCAGATTAAGAAACAAAGTATTAACCATGTCTAGATACCTTCTTTGTCCTTTCTTTTTTTTTTTTAAGATTTTTATTTATTTATTCATGAGAGACACACACAGAGAGAGGCAGAGACACAGGCAGAGGGAGAAGCAGGCTCCTTGCAGGGAGCCCGATGTGGGACTCAATCCCGGGTCTCCAGGATCAGGCCCTGGGCTACAGGCGGCGCTAAACCTCTGAGCCATTGGAGCTGCCCTTCTTTGTCATTTCTTGTCACTAACTTCCCCGCAAGGTAAAGTAACAGTATCTTGGCTTCTGACACCAAAGACAAGTTTTTTATGTTTCTGAACCTTTTAAGTATGGAATGATACAATATGCGCTCTTGCTCAATACTTTGTTTGCAAGGTACATCTTTATTATATTGAATGCAGTTATGGCTTGTTCAGCCTAGTGCTGTATAGTATTCAAGTGGTTCAAGTGTATGACTATACTACAATTTATATGTTCTATTGATGGGAGTTTAGAGAGTTTCTAACTGGGATTATTACTAATAGTATTGCCATGAACAGTCTAGTACCTGTGTTTTTGAGGAACACATGTACATATTTCTCTTGGGTCTACCCCTCAAGTGGAATGGCAGAGCCATAAGGATGTGGACCATCCACTAGTGCGCAGTGCCGTCTGCCAAAGCAGTTACAGAAATTGCCACTCCCAGCATGGTATGTGAGAACACCACTGGTTCCACATTCTCACCAAACTTTGTTTTTGTTGTTGTTTTTTTTCCACTTAACCACTCTGGAGAGTGTATAATGGTGTCCTGTTGTGTTTTTTCTTTTTTTCTTTTTTAATTTAAATTCAATTTGCCAACTTCTTTCCTTTTTTAAATTTAAATTTAATTAGCTGACATATAGTACATCCTGAGCCATCATGGTTTTAATTTGCATTTTCCTGATAATCAATGAAGCATCTATTCATTTGTTGATGGCCTCTTTGTGAAGTACCTGCTCAAGTTTTTTTGCCCATTTAAAAAATTTCTGTTTTGTCTGTTTGATTGTATCTTTGTTTTTTCAATAAACCACAATGAGTGACCTTGAAAAAGGTTCTCTATCATTGTGTCCCTAGCGTTTTGCCTAATGGCTCATGTGGAAAAGGGATTTGGTCCCATCTGATGCTTACAGTAACCTTTAATGTGGATAATATATTATGTCCCTTTTAGAGATGAGGAAACTAAGGCTCTACATTTTTAAAATAATTTTTAATAGCTAGAAAAATAAAAAGAGTCTCACGGCAATAAGACTCTAAGGGAAAAATCCTTTTACCAGCCTAGGTACTCTTTTTTGTAAGTCAAATGGCAATGTTTATCCACCAATGTCATGTGTTTCAGTAGAATTAAAATGGCATAAGAAGTGCTAATGTACTTTGAAAAGGTAAATGTGCTCCAGAGCTCAGGTACCAGCATCACTAACCGGCACACATGTAATACATCTTCATCCTTCTAGCCCTTGAAACAGTCTTAATAAGCACTTCATCTATCCATGGAAATATTCCACAGTTTTGTCTTCCTATCAAGATAATATAGACTATGTATTAAAATACTTAGAATTTTTATTGCTACTTTGGTAATGGATAAGCAAATGGGTATATGAAAACCTAATTCTAAAAGTTCTCTTTTCTAATTTATGTCCATCTACTAGGTCCTGAATGACCCTGTGCTATTATCTTATTCCCTCATTACTCTGTTCTGCTGATTACATCCCTTCTCTCAGCAGGCATGTTAAGCACCCACTGAGTCCTGAGGCTTGGGAAAGGTGCAGTGAATACATAGATGACTAAGACATTGCCCCCAGTCCTTAGGAAGCTCATCATCTAGCTGAGGAAATGAGTGAATGAATAGATACATTACAATTCATTATGTGTACACATTTGAGAGTATGGGAAACCAGCTGAACCAGGCAAACCTACAGTGATCCACATTCAAAGAGGGGCAGGAAAGATGACTTGGACTTGACTTATTTATAGGAGTTTTCATGCTGGTTACCTCAAAACCAGCCAATAAGCCATACAGACTGACACAAGATCAAGGCTGCATGAGCAGACCCTATAACATACTTATTAACAGTTCTATGTCTCCTGTGGTACTAGATGCAATTTCTTTTTTTTTTAAAGATTTTATTTATTTATTCATGAGAGACACACAGAGAGAGGCAGAGATATAGGCAGAAGAAGAAGACTCCCTGCAGGGAGCCCAACCAGGACTCGATCCCAGGACCCCAGGATCACGACCTGAACCAAAGGCAGATGCTCAACCACTGAGCCACCTAGGTGCCCCCTAGATGCAATTTCTAAGATTTATTTTTATCAGTAATTTTTGGTATCTGACTGTTTCTCTCTTGAAACTGGGCCAGTGCCAAGTTTGAAACTGGGCCAGTGCCAAGTTTATATCAAAGCCCATGCTTTCATTGTTCCCAGAGACTTTAGCATTCCTGAACATTGGGTGGTCAGAACAGAAAGCAATGACTTTATTTTTTTTTTTTAAATTTTTATTTATTTATGATAGTCACAGAGAGAAAGAGAGAGAGGCAGAGACACAGGCAGAGGGAGAAGCAGGCTCCATGCACCGGGAGCCTGACGTGGGATTCGATCCGGGGTCTCCAGGATCGCGCCCTGGGCCAAAGGCAGGCGCCAAACCGCTGCGCCACCCAGGGATCCCGAAAGCAATGACTTTAATACCTAAACCACTTCTACCACCATCACCTAACCCAGTGAAACATCTGAATAGGATGAACAATTCTGTGGGGTCTCCAGACTCGATGAATCCTCTCTTGGAGGTCTTATGCCGAATTCCTCCAGTCTGGAAGCATTGCTGTCTTGCCACATTTACTGCACACATGTTTTGCATATAGAACAGTTTTTTTGCGTGTGGGCACAATGCATTTAGGCAGAATATCTTTTAATTTCTTTTGTGGCATATTATATTCAGAATGCCATGTTTAATTGGGTCCTTAAATATTTACTGGGAAGTTTGATCCTTTATCACCTTCACTAGAATGTAAGCTTGACAAGGGCCCTGCTCACCACTGTTAGCCTTGTAGTGAGAGCAGTCAGTGGTACAGAGAAGAATCAGTCAGTGTGTGCCAAATGACTGCATGCATAATTAATCTATGGCAACTAAACTGGTTGAAGCAATCACATGCTTTTTGTTTCCAGTATATTGCATACATGAAGAAAAAGATAGAGCAATATAAAAAGAGAGAAGAAGATCTCAAGTCCACGTCAGGTGACCTGTCTTGTCAATTGACAACTCATCAGAGTAAGTAATGTGTCATGAGTGATCTGTACATATAAAAAAATCTTTTTGTTTAAATAAATTTTACTGACTTGCATATGATAAAATGAACCCATCTTAAGCTCAATGAGTTTTGATAAATGTACATACCACTGTAACCACTGCCACTTCAAGCAAGATAGAGAACATTTTTTCCCTGAATAATTTCCCTTGTGTACCTTTTTAGTTGATTTCCTACCCTACCTCCACTGCCTGGAAACCATTGATCTGCTTCCTTTCTTTTTCTTTTTTAAGATTTTATTTATTTATTCATGAGAGAGAGAGAGAGAGAGAGAGAGAGGCAGAGACATAGGCAGAGGGAGAGGGAGAGGGAGAAGCAGGGCCCACGCAGGGAACCCAGTGTGGGACTCGATCCCAGGACTCCAGGATCATGCCCTGGGCCAAAGGCAGATGCTCAACCACTGAGCCACCCAGGGATCCCCCACTTCCTTTCTTTTTTAGAATTCATTTTCTTTTTTTTCTCTATCTATCTATCTATCTATCTATCTATCTATCTATCTATCTATCTATGTGTCTATCTATCGGGGAGAGTGTAAGAGTAGGGGGAGGAGACAAGGGGAAGGAAGGAAGAGGGAGAAAGAATCTCAAGCAGACTCCATGCTGAGCATGGAGCCCAATGTGGGGCTTGATCTCACAACCCTGAGATCATAGCCTGAGCTGAAACCAAGAGTGGAAGCTTAACCGACTGAGTCACCCAGGTGCCCCTGCTCTGCTTCTGTCACTAAGGATTAGATAAAAATGGAATGATGGAATAATACACACACTTTTCTATTTGGCTTCTTGTACTGAGCAAATTTTTTTAGATCCATTCATGCTGTTGTATTTATTATTGTTTTGCCCCTTTCTATAGCTGTATATTAATATTCCATTATATAGACATATCGTATTTTGTTTATTCACCATTTGAAGGACATTTGAATTGTTTCCATTTTTTTTGGTTACTTTTTGCTTACATGTGTTTTTGTGAATATTTGTTTTCATTTCTATTGCGTAAATACTGAGGAGTGGAATTGCTGGGGTATATGGTTAGTGTATGTTTAACTTTATAAGAAACTGCCAAAATAGTTTGCCAGAGTAGTTGTGCAAATTCATCATCCCACTGGCACTGAGGTACGCCACATTCACACCAGCATTTAAAATTGCCAAAACAGGGGCAGCCCCACTGGCGCGGCGGTTTAGCGTGGCCTTCAGCCCAGGGCCTGATCCTGGAGACCCGGGATAGAGCCCCACGTCAGGCTCCCTGCATGGAGCCTGCTTCTCCCTCTGCCTGTGTCTCTGCCTCTCTTTCTCTCTGTGTATCTCACGAATAAATAAATAAAATCTTTAAAAAAATAAATAAAAATAAAAAAATAAATTGCCAAAACAGGGAGCACTGGGGGTGGCTCAGTTGTTGAGTGTCTGCCTTTGGCTCAGATCATGATTCCAGGGTTCTGGAATCGAGTCTTGCATCAAGTTCCCTGAAGGGAGCCTGCTTCTCCCTCTGCCTCTGTCTCTCTTTCTGTGTCTCTCATGAATAAATAAATAAAATCTTTAAAAAATAAAAAACATAAAATTGTCAAAACACTTAAAATTGTTAACATAATGGGATTTCATTGTGGTTTTTATTTGCATTTCTCTGGTGACTGATGTTGTTGAGTATTTTTTCATGTGCTTCTTGGCCACTTGTATACCATCCTTTGTGAAGTATCTTGAACCAATTATGTATTGTGGCATAACAAATATTATAGATCATTTGCTTTGCTCCTAAATTGGTAATTTGGTCAGACTCTGGTGGAGACTACTTATGTCTGCTCTACGTGATATCAGCTGGGGTAACTTGACAGCTGAGGGTAATTCAGCAGCTGGGAACTGGAATCATCTGAAGACAATCCGCTCATTCATTGTGTCTGGTGTCACTGTTACCTGTCAGCCAGAGTCTCCATGTAGTTGCTTGGCCTGCTGTATTCAAAAGCTAGCATCCCAGGTACAAGGTGGAGGGGGACACAGATACACCACCACTAGTGGGAGGGGTGTCAGCATCACGTTATGGGAAGAGCATGTGGAATGGAATATATTGTGGGGCCATCTCCAGAAAATATACTCTGCTGTATTTCTGTTCAAATCTTTCGCTCATTACTTTGTGTTGTTTGTGTTGTTGAGTTAAAGTCTCTGTGTATTCTGGAAATGAGTCCTTTTTCAATATGAGGCTTGACTTCTCATTTTCTTAATATTGTCCTGAAAAAAGCAGAAGTTTTCCATGTGGATAAAGTCTGCTTTATCTCTTTCATTTTTTCAGGGCAGTCCTTTGTGTGTCCTGAGGACTTTTTTCCCTAAGCCATGTTCTCAAAGATATTCTCCTATGTTTTCTTTGAGTTTTTAGTTTTAGTTTTTATGTCTAGATCTCCAATTCAAGGTCACATTTTCAAATAGTATGAGGTAAGAGTTGAATTTCATGTTTTCTCTTACATATATCCAATTGTTCTAGTACCATTTTTAGCATTGTACTATCCCAATGACTTTTTCAAAAATCAATTTTATGTGTTTCTTATTCTAATTTTACACTAATACCACACTGTCCTGGTTACTGTAATTTCACAGTTAGCCTGGAAATCAGGTAATGTAAATTCTCCACACTTGTGCTCCTCTCTCAGAATTATTTTGCTGATTATAAGTTCTTTTGATTTTCATCTAATTTTTAGAACCAGCTTATTAATCTATAATTGCACTCACCTGCTGGGGTCTTAACTGGGTTTGTGTTGAATCTGTCAATCAATTTGAGAATTGACATCTTAACAATATTAAGTCTTCCAATCCAAGAACACAGTATATAGCTCCATTTATTTAGAACTTGTTTTTCTCAGCAAGATTTTGCAGCTTTTACGTGTTGTATTAGGGGCCCTCAAGACCATAGGCTCAATGATTAGCTAGGATTCAGTAGGCTCAAGTTTTTATGGTTATTGTCCATGACTGTGAAGGATATGGAATAAAACCAGCAAAAGGAAAAGGTGCGTGGGGCAAAATGTGGAGGAAAACAGATGCAAAATTGCAGGTGCTGTCACCTAATGTAGTTGCACAGATGTACTTAATTTCCCCAGTAATGATGTGTGACAAAGTGGTGCCCAGCAGGGGCACTCGGGCTTGGGCATCCAAGGTACTTCCTAGAGCTGTTGGTCATGAAGGTGTGCAGTGCCTGTGAGACCTCAGGATGCTCACATGGTGTTTCTCCTTTATGCTGTTAGGATGATAAATTGCACTGATTCATTTTTGAATGTTAAGCCAATCTCAGAGAAAACCTGCTTGTTCGAAACCTATTATTGTTTTTATATATTGCTGAATTCAATTTGCTAATCTTTGTACAGATTTTTTTTCATCTGTGAACAGCCTGCCTTGTTCTACTTGCACTTAGGTCTGGAAAGTGCCCCCAGCAGAAAGCTGAGTGATCATAAGGCTTGCCTCATTTGCCCCCCTTCTTTTAGGTATCACAGTCCTGTGCTGCCCATTCTCCAGTGTCTGCAAACTGGATATTAAAACAGATATGTTCAGGGCACCTGGCTGGCTCAGTCAGTAGAACATGTGACTTGTGATCTCAGGGTGTTAGTTCAAGCCCCATATGGGGCATGAAGCCTACTTAAAAAATAATGACCAATATATTTAATATTTTTTCTCCTTGTTTAGAGTGGGAGGGCAAGTCTGATCCAGTTATTCTGTCATTTTGGAAGTAGAAATGTTTAGATAAATATAATTTTGGAAAACCAGTGTTTTTTTTTTATAAAAATTTTCACATTATTTCTGTAACCTTTGCATTTTAAAAATCTTTATTGTAGCACAGTATTTGGATTTGTGGGCTGAATTTCAGACTACAGTTAAGGTAAGCGTGCTGCCTCTATGAATATATTTCTAAAAAATATTCACCTACCTAATAAGTTGCGTGTGTGTGTGTGTGTGTACACATGTGCCTGCTTAAGGTAGGAGGTCAGGACTGAGGGAGAGTGACAGTCCTACTATGATCATATCTTAAAATGTATGCTTTGTGTTGTTAAAAAAAATTCAACTGAGTGATTTTTAAAATATTTTACTGACTTTATTCAATAATTCATGAATCCAGCAGCAACCAAGCTAGCAGGTGAAAAGGTGCTCTGAAGAGCTATACAAAACAGAAGACTTATATAGGCAGAAGGGAGCAGGAACAGAGAAGCTATACTAATAAGCAAAAAAAGCAGATTGGTTATTGCAGGATTACTTTCCTTTAGGGGATGGCAGGGGCCCATTAGGCAGATTACCTAATGTGCTATTTAGGTGATTCCTGATTGGCTGGTGTAAGATTCCATTTCCAAGAAAGCCAAAACTGTAGTTAAATTAATTCTCAGTTTGGTAATGTGAGGCCTAGCATATGTGACTCCATTTGGGGCTGTTGTCTTATTTTTAGGGGTGCCAAATGTCACTATGAAATCTTAATCCTTTGGGAAATTGTCTTCCTACTTTACCAATTTGGTTAAAGGGAATGACCCTCCCTCCCCCTGCAAATACAAATTGAACACGAACTATTGTAGGACAAAGTTGTCAGGTTTGAAGTCCATCTGTCCTCCAGGTTTTACCAGCCCTGCTGCCTCTCCACCTCTCTCTGCTATAAAGGCTGGTTGGTAGGCTGGGGTTGAAATCCTGGCTTGCCCACTTTCTAAGTATTTAAAGTACACCCAGGATCCTTGCTTAGCCTGTTTAACATTTTTCAGATGAAGCTACCGAGGCTCAGAGTTTAAATAACTTTGCCCAAGACCAAACAGTTAATGAACTTATGGCGATTGAAAACTCAGATCCAGCCTGGTTCCAAAGTTCTTTCTCTTAAACTGTAAGCCATGCTGAATATGCTCTGCAATTCTGGGCTGCTCTGAAGGTGAACTGGCTTTTATGCCACCATCACCACCACCACCATCCTACCCAGTTATAAGAGTGCAGTGAGGATTCCGTTAAATTGTCTCATTTGCTAATCTACTTTTCTGAGATCTTCTATAGAACTTTGTGAATGTGCTATGTATACTTATTTTGCATGAATAATGCCAATTTTGCATATATATTTTTGTCTTGGACACGATTCACTCAGAATGTTTTTATTTTTCTGGTTGGAATTTATATTCACACACTCCAAAATTTTATTTTTTTAAAGGAATTGGTAAACAGTGGTGGTGAGACTTTGCAAGAAATAAAAAACCTAACAGAGAAGCTAAACGAAAGAGATGAAAACATTGAACGTATCAGCATTTGGCTACAAGGGAATCTTGAAGAGCTGCGTTCTCTTATGGAACAGGAATTGAAAGTGGACCTCCTTAGTAAGTAACATCTCAAAAGCTCTGAGTAACAAAGGACCTCTTGTTATTTTACTGTAACCAGTAATATCAAAAAAAGCATTTTAAAAAAAGCTAACCAAATAACTTTATCATCTCCAATAATCCATCCCCAATTAATGTTGCATTCACCTAAACACTAATTCTCATTTGTGGGGTTGAATGTGGTAATGCAGCAGTGTTGGACAACTCTCCCTTCCACCAACATGAGTTTCCTAAATAACCAAATCTTAATTTCTTTGTGGTTTTTTTGAAACTGTTATTTTGCACATTTTCCAAAGAAGTCTTTTTAAAGCCTTTTATGCACTTCCTCATCTTCTTAAAAGATTTGGAACATAATTTTACCTTTTCTTCTTGAGCTTAGTTTAGTACTAAAAACAGGAACTATTGGGATTCCTGGGTGGCTCAGTTGGTTGGGCATCAGACTTTTGATTTCAGCTCAGGTCGTGGTCTCCAGGTTGTGGAGCTCCACACTGGGCATGGAGCCTCCTTGGGATTCTCCCTTTCCCCTCTCTACACCCCCACTGCTCACATGCACATGCTCACTCTTCTAAACCAATCAACCAACAAAACCCCAGGTACTATTGCCTTCTCTGAAAATCTAGTGATAGTGATGCCTTCTGGGGCTTCTGTAATATAACACATCCTTTATGACATGATTGCCTCATGAGCGGTCCAGTTTCTTCAGAGGGTTATCAACTTCATCCTCAATTTTTACTTAAATGTCATGTTAGACATGAGGGCCACAGAATTCCATCCAGATTTTGGCTGTAGTGGGAAGAGGACATCAATTCTTGCACAGATACAGCCCAGAGGTCCCAGGTTGTGGGCAGCTAACCAGGAATCCCTGGGGAAGACGGGATGATGGAGGTAGAAACGGCTGAGAAGGAAGGGACAATGAAGTGTAGAGGAGAGACAGAGTGATAAATGAAAATAATATAACCTAGCAGGGTTATTACATTTTCATTGAAAAGAATGTCACCATTAGATAATCAATTTTAAAGGTGAGTTGTAGAATGTGAAATGAAATTGAAAGTGTTAGGACTGAAAACATTCCAGTATTTGGTCAAAGCAATGTTCTGAGAGCACTGCTTGACAAAAGAAGTAATGTTTTCATGACCAGTGAAGACTTTTGTGAGTAAACTTTATCAGCCAAAAAAGCTGTTTTTGTGGTCCTGCTCAAGCCTGGTGACACTTATTATGTGTAAGTGCATAGTCGGTCCCTGGACAGCCCTGGTCACTGCAGAATTGTCTTTGGTAAGTCAGGCCATCCGCAGCAACTGTCAACTCGAACTGTCAATTGCACTATTTTCCACATGAGCGAGTCTTCCATTTTTGTCTGAAACCTGATGGAATTTTAAGATTTTATTTATTCATAGACACAGAATGAGAGAGGAGAGAGAGAGAGAGAGAGAGAGAGAGAGAAGAGGAGAGGCGAGGCGAGGCAGAGACAGGCTCCACGCAGGGAGCCCAATGTGGGACTCGATCCCAGGACTCCAGGACCAGGCCTGGACTGAAGGCAGCACTAAACCGCTGAGCCACCCGGGCTGCCCCTGATGGAATTTTATGTTGGAACAGATTTAAATAGATGATCTCGAAAAGCTAGGCCCACCACATCCCCCTTTTTTCACATACTTTGAGGACTGTCTTATTGATAACTATATGGAAAGTAGAAAATTGCAGTATGGAAATAAAGACCAGCTAAGTGCAAACAAGCCGAGGCATACAGCTTGGTATGGCAAGGGCAGGAGCGTCACCATCACTCGCTTCTGCGGGGAGGGGGATGGGAAAGGTTTACTGTGAAAGGAAAGGCCTCAGGTATGCTCTGATGGGAGGTTGTGGGCAGCTAACCAGGAGCAGGACTCCCTCTGTGATCCATTAGTAAGTGTCTTTGGCGGCTCCAAAGTTAGAGGGCTCAAAAAGTAGGGAAGTTAGTGGTCATTGATGATGTTATGAATTCTGGGCCATTTGCAGAGTCTGTAGGTCAGAGAAGTCCTCAGGCTGTCATTATGCCAGCCCTGGTATAGTGGGAGACTTGGTCACTACACAAAGCTATGTAAAATTCCTTGTCATAGGGATTCTACAGGTGGAACATAGAACTATGAGAGAACCTAACAGGAAAGAGACTTGACCTAGTTAAGGAAAAGCGGAGAAGCCTCTCTGGAGGACTGAGAAATGGAGCTGAGATCACAAGGAAGGTTTCTGGCTTCCCTCACTCCACTATTTCTGCTCCTGGAGCATGGGCACTGTGTAGGGTTTGAAGGTAGGTGGACCTGGGCTCAGATCTCGGCGCTGCTGCTTCTACTCCCCAGTTTCCCTGGTTGTAAAATATGGATAGTTATGTTATAGAGCATCAGAGCCAAATGAGGCATGCCATCAGATCTCTTGAAATCTAGCATTCTCCTGTGAGAGGTAATAGTCAACCTTGGCTGGCTCCTTGGATTACTTGACCAGCTCTGAGCCACCTGTAATCTGGCTTTTGGATTTTCCCCGTTGAAAGTTCTCTGGGTGAGGGGACTTCCAGAAGAGCCTTTGATCTCTTGAGCTCAACAGCCCACTCCTGTCCTCTTCTGGACATACTCTGTCACTGCAGCCATACAGCTCAGGGCCTCTGACAAGGAACGTGGGCTAGCTTCAGTAACACGTGGAGCAACTTTTGAGCCTGGCACCACAGTACATACTGCAGGTTCTAAGTTGAATAAAACCCAGTCCCTGAGCCTCGAATTGCATACATTGTGAGAACAAAGAGCTGATTTAAATACAAGGGATTCCTTTTAGTGAGTGGCTATGAGAAGGTAAAGAGAGGCACCCCTAAACCTTTTTAAGTGTTGGGAATAGAGAGAGGTCTTCCTTGAAAGGGCAGTAGACATGCCCTGGCCAAGGACAGCGATAGCATGGCTATCTGCTGAGTGGGTATCTTCTGGGGGTACCGACTGGCACATGGGGAGGATAGGTTTCTTAGAACTTCAAATGTCAGACTTCATCTTGAAAACCAAGATCTTTACTTTTTGCCTTAACAGTCCTTCTTGCAAAAAAAAAAAAAAAAAAAAAAAAAGGCAAACAATTCTTAGTGTGTAGTCCTAAATAAAACAGTAACTGAGTACAGATTACTTTTTAAGAAGTATTAAAAATAATTTTATCTTAAAATTCTAAAAGTCCCCGAGTTTTATACCATGTATTGTAACTTAGGTTATGGATAAATAATTTGTATATTAACAAAGCATTTTCACTTGATATATGTGCTACAGAAGACTGTTTACGTCAAAGGATATTTTAGAAGAAGTATCAAATTTGTATACACTGTTGGTTATATTTTGATCATTTAATTCTGGAAAAGAAACATTATTAAAGCAGAATCAAAATTTAAGAAATAATTTTTAAAAATCATTTGCCAAAAAATTGTCAAAATGTCTTTTGAAAAAACTAAAACCTGAACTAGGAAGAATTTAGACCCTATTTCTCAAGCATTAGCATCACCTAGAAGAGGTTTTAAAAATCCTCCCGCTAAGCCTGCACCCTTAGACCAGTTCTGAGTCTCTGTGGGTGGGGCATGTTTTTAGACCTCTCTCCAGTGGGATCCAATGTGCAGCCAAATCTTGCAAACCAACAGTTTTAGACAAATACATAACAATGTAATTAAATTTATCAACTGACCCAAATTAATCAAAATATTTGACCTTTAAATGACCTATCGAGCACTTGTTAGCAAAATAATTACCATGCACTGTAGCAGTGAGAGTCTGTAATGCCTTACAAGTCAAAACTGAACAAAGCTGAACTGGGACAAGGGTGACTTATTTTTTTAATGACCATATTTTAGCATATTATTTAGTAACATTAGCAACCACAGTTGCTATGAATTGTTCTGGTCTTATTCTTAAAGCAAATTAATAATGCAGATATCTAAGTATTCCTGAAATCTTTGCATTTGAGGAATTTTAATAATTACTTGCATGATTTTTCCTTTTGCATACATATTTCTCTGCTAGGAGATCAGAGAAGATAATTGTTAAAATGGCTCCAAATGTAGAGGGACAGATGGTGTTGGTAATCAGATATATGGCTCTCTACAGTCCCTTCCCACAACCAAGTCTCAGATTATACAATTTTCCAGTTGAGGATCCTTTGGGAAATTTAGAATTTTAATGCACACTAATAACCATCCAAACTTGAGTGAGATACATAGCATTTCTATGTTTTTATTCCTACAGAAAAGAAGAAACACATTCCTATCAAAAAAGTCCATCCCCCAGTGGGTGAATGTAAAAAAACTAACAAAATAACTTCAAGGCTATAACTGCTGTGAATTCAAAAGGCACAAACAAAACTACAGAACAAGTGAGTACACTTTCTTCATATTTTGCAATGATCTATGGATGTCTTGTTTAACAAAATTGCATAATCCCCACCCAATAGCAGAATCAGTAAATAACCTTCTAAATACAAATGGATATACATGGTTGGATAAATGTTAAAAAAAAAAAAACAAACACCCTTATTTTGCTTCCATGGTTTCACATGAATCTCTTACAGGCTTTAGAGCATAAAATACACAGTAGACCTATCAATAACCACAGGAAAAGTATACGTTCTATATATTCTGTATTCTGTTAAGGCATCAATTGTAAGATGCATCCTAATTCAGAGACGTCACAATGTGAAAAATTTTAGGATCAATAAAATATTATTGCACCGTGTATATATCCTTCAAAAAGGAGACCAAAGCGGAAGGGAATGTGTAAATCCATGTATTTATTCACTTGGGAAAGAAATATTCCTCTTTTTAGTCTGAATTATTTCCACAATTAAATGTCAGAACACCTGAGATTTTTTTTGTAGTTAAGCATTTTATTGTTTTTCTTAACAGAAATCATAATCAGAAGAGATCTTCAACCAACCTACCTATAAACAGAAAACCTGTTATATAAATTATACTCTATTTTTATAACCAAAATACTGTACTGGTAAAAATAAATAACAAACAACATACTTCTTTTTCATGTTTACTACCAGACCCACAGGTATGTTTGTCCTTCTTATTCATTATACTTGAAAAACAAATTGAAACACAAGAGCATGCAAAATTAGACCGATGCTAAGGATTTCAGATTATACTTGTCTAGGTATAGAGGAACATGATTTTGTTCTAAAGGATAACTAAATTGTTGCAGGAAGCAAGTACTTCCTAACATGCTTGTAGTGTCCTGGTGTGCTAAAGTGTGTAAGTGTATTATACTATGTCATAGACTACTACAGCATTTTGTATTTTCCAAGTCTATCCAGAAAGTCTGTTAAGTCAAAAACGGAAAACAATCTTCCATACACAACAAAAGAGTATTAATGCATTTTATGTTTTTTTACTAAGAACACTTTTTAGGTTTTTTGGCATTTTACTACATTCAGTGTCCATTGGCTCCTTCAGAGAGTATCCGTGAAGGCTCAGTAAATTTCGCAGTGAACAAGTAAAAAAGAGCTGGAGTGGGTACCAAAGCCAAAAGCGGCAAATCTTGCTCGAGTTTATCCACTCTGGAAATGGATATTATTCCATAGGCATGAAGTAACCAGTGGCTGAAGAGAACAATAAGTCTTTTCTTTCTCACCAGAAGATCATAGCAGTTCTGTATAATTTTTTAAAGGAAGAAAACAAACACACATTATCAGGCTGAATAAGCTAGATAATTTGTTGCACTGTAATTTAAATGTATTATTTGTTGGGAAATTGGCAGAATAGGAAGATCCTGAGCTCACCTCGTCTATGGATACACACTGAGATAACAGACACATCAGTGCAACTCTGAAAATGACTCAAAGACTGGCAGCAGACCTTCCACAGTTAATTGTAGAGAGGAGGCCACATCAAAAAGAGTAAGAAGGGTGGGACATGGTTAGGAACAAAGCCCTGGGAGAGCCTAACCACACACAGGAGGGACACCAAAAGAAGTCAAAGGATCAGAACCCCCACCAGCAACCCTAGGCCCAGGGGGCCAGCACTAGGAGAATGAGTCCCCGTAACAGCAGGCTTTGAAAACTGTGGGCCTTACTTTAAGCATTTTTACCATCAGTGGCACTTAGCTCCAGGAGAGCTGGAAGGTAACAAACTCAGTAGTCCCTGCCATTAAAGAGCCGGCATATAATAGGTAAGTGATGAACCACTAAATTCTACTCCTGAAAATAATATTACACTATAGGTTAACTAACTGGAATTTAAATAAAGAGCCAGCATAACAACCCAGCAGAGATACAGCACAGAAATACCAGTTTGAATGGCACCAGATGTATATGTGAAGGAGATTTACTAATCTCATAATGTGCAAGGGAGGGGCAGGGATCTTTAGGAAACTCTCCAAGACTAAAAGAGCCAGCGCAACCGTTTCTCCCCACTCCCCTACTTGCAGGACCAGAAGAACATGTTCCACCTCACTTGCTAGCACCATGCCCAACCCACGTTCTCTTGCAGATTCACTCAGCAGGTGTCCCTCCAAAGTGGCTCCTGCCCCACACTGCAAACAACCCCAGGAGAGATGGCACCACTCCAAAGTGGCTCTTGCCCCAGAAAGACAATCACATACGCCAGTGTGCCTGCAATCCCAACAGCCAAACCTTATAACTGAAAGTGCAGAGAAAGAATCCCACTACTCACTGCCACTGTAGTTGCAACAGCTTGGGGACCAGAATCTGCTAGCCCCACCAAAAAGCAAAAACCTCTTAGGGAACAGGGAAGGGAGAGTAGTGCCCTGGAGACTGTTGTAACTGCAGCCCCAACAGAATAGGGGCAGGAGTCTGGTCTGACTGCCAATCTGCCCAACTACAGGCCTTCAGTGGCCCCAGACTGGCACCTTCACAGAACAGGGACCAAATCCTGCCTGGTGTGCCCTGAGCAGATGAAGTAGGCCATTGCAGCTGACTGGACTGAGGCCAACACAGTATAGCCACCACAGCAGGGTCCATGTATCCCACATAGGAGACATCCATGAAGCACCTGATTCTGGGGAACAGAGGACATTGCACCACAGCACCTTTTCCTCAAAAGGCCACTACTTCAAGATCAGGAGATGTAGCTGACTTTTCTAACAGAGACAAGGAGACAGAAGAATAAGTCCCAAATGAAAGAACAGGATAAAACCACAGCAAAAGAGCCAAATGAAACACAGATAAGCAACATGCCTGATAAACTCAAAGTAATGGTCGTAAATAAGCAGAGGATCTCAGTGAAACCTTCAATATATAAAATAGAACCAGTCAGAGATGAGGAACTCAATAACTGAAATGAAAATTACACTAGAGAAAAATCAATAAAGGATCAGTGATCTGGAAGACTGATGTAATAGAAAGCAGCCAAGCTGAACAGCAAACAAAAAAATATAATAAAAAATGAAAATAGGGTAAGGGAACTCAGTGACACCATCAAGCATAATAATATTCACATTATAGGGATCCCAGAAGGAGGAGAGAGAAAAGGGGCAGAAAATTTATTTGAAGAAATAAAAGCTGAAACTTCCCCAATCTAAGGAAAAAAACAGACTTCCAGATGCAAGAGCACTGACAGCACCTAATAAAATTAATCCACGGCACATAAAAATTAAAATGGCAAAGTAGTGATGGAGATTTTATAAGCAGCAAGAGAAAAGAAAGCAATTATGCATAAAGGAAACCCCAGAAACCTATCAGGTGATTTTTCAGCAAAAACCCCTGCAGGCCTAAAGGAAGTGGCATGATATATTCAAAATACTTAAAGAAAAAAAACCTATAAAAGAATAGTCTATTGTATTCAGAATTGAAGGAGAAATAAAGGATTTCCATGACAAAGTTAAAGGAGTTCATAACCACTAAACCAGCCTTACAAGAAAACATTAAAGAGAATTATTTGAGTGGGAAAAAACTCTGTAATAAAGATTATGAAAAAATGTCACAATATAAACATATAACAAAAGATTAGTCACATATAAAACCAGTATAGAGATTAAAGCACAAAAGCAGTAAAATCAATATCTATAAAAATCAGTCAAGGGACTCAAAAAGGAGGTAAAGTATGACATCATATACATAAAACATGGTGGGGGAGGTAAAAATTTAGTGCTTTTAGGATGGGTTCAAACTAAAGTGACCCATAACTTAATACAGACTGCTGTACATGTTAGAAGTTATAAATGAATATGTAACCACAAATCAAAACCTGTAATACACAAATAGAAAGGAATCCAAGTGTAATGCTAAAGCCATTAAACCACAAGGGAAGAAAAGGAGGCAGAGAACTACAAAAACAATAGTAAAACAAGTTAACAGAATGGCAATAAGTACATACCTATAAATAATTACTCTGAGTATAAATGGACTAAACACTACAAAGGACATAGGGTGCTGAGTGGATAAAGGAAAAAAAAAAAACCTCTAAGTGCTGCTTTAGACTTACTTTAGACCTAGACATACATGCAAGATTGAAAGTGAAGGAACTGAAAAACATGCAAATAGAAGTTAAAAGAAAGCTGGGTTAGCAATACTTAAATTATTTGACAAAACAGACTTTAAAACAAAGATAGTAGGTACCAAGGGACAAAAAGGATATTACTGAATTAAAAAGGGAACAATCCAAAAAGAGGATAGAACAATTATAAATACCTATGCACCCAAAAAGAGGGTACCTAAAGACATAAAGCAACTATTAACAGACAGGAAGAGACTGACAGTAATCCATATAGTTGGGAACTTATATACTCCACTTACATCAGTGTATACATTATCCAGGTTAATCAACAAGAAACAATGGCTGTGAATGACATATCAGACCAGATGGTCCTAAAAGATATATTGAGAACATTCCATCCAAAAACAGGATTACATACTCTTTTTAAGTGTACATGGGATCCTCTCCAGAACGGATCACATGTTAGGGCCCAAAACAAGTCTCAACAAACTATATCATGCCTTTTTTCCAATCACAACGGTATGAAACTAGAAATTACAAGAAGTCTAGAAAGAACACAAATATATGTAGGCTAAATAATATGTTTTACTAAATGATTAATGAGTCAACCAAGACATCAAAGGAAATAAAAAAATACATGAAACAGATGAAAACCACAACGGTTCAGTATCTTTGGGATGCAGCAAAAGCATCCCAAAAAGGGAAGATTATAGCAATAGAGACCTACCTCAAAAAAACAACTCAAACAACTTAGCCTTACCCTTAAAGGAGTCAGAAAAAGAACAAAAGCCCAAAGCCAGTAGAAGGAACAAAATAATAAAGATGAGAGCAGAGTAAATAGAGACAAAAAAAAAAAAAAAAAACAGATCAGGAGCTGGCTCTTTGAAGATAAACAACATTGATAAAGCTTTAGCTAGACTCATCAAGAAAAAAGAGATTGCAAATAAATAAAACTAGAAAAGGAGGAGAAATAACGGACACCACAGAAATAGGACTTTAAGAAATTATGAAAAACTATATGGTAATAAATTGGACAACCTTAAAGAAATGGATACATTCCTAGAAGCATATAGCCTCTTCAAAGTGAATCAGGAAGAACACTTGTAACAAAATAAAGTCCAAGACCAGATGGCATCAAAGGTGAATTATACCAAACATTTAAAGAACTGGGCAGCCTGGGGAGCTTGGCGGTTTAGCGCTGCCTTCAGCCCAGGGCATGATCCTGGAGACCGGGGACTGAGTCCCACGTCAGGCTCCCTGCATGGAGCCTGCTTCTCCCTCTGCTTGTGTCTCTGCCCCTCTCTCTCAATCTGTGTCTCTCATGAATAAATAAAAAGTAAAATCTTTTAAAAATAAATAAAGAATATCCATTCTTTTCAAACTATTCAAAAAAAAATGGAAAAGGAAGAAAAGTCTCCAAATTTATTTTGTGAGGCCAGCATCACCCTGATACCAAAACCAGATAGACACCACAAAAAAAGAAAACTATAGACCAGTATCTCTGATGAACATAGAGGTAAAATTCCCAACAAAATATTGGTAAACCAAATGGAACAATACACTAAAAAAATTATTCTCCACAATCAAGTGGGTTTTATTCTAGGTTGTAATGGTGGTTCAATATTTGCAAATCAATCAAAATGATAAATCACACTGATGAGAGAAAAGAAAAAAACCATAGCACCATCTCAACAGATGCACAAAAGGCACCTGACAAAGCACATCCATCTGTGATAAAACCTCTCAACAAAGTAGATCTAGAAGGAAGGTACATCAACATAGTAAGGGCCGCATATGAAAACCCTACAGCTAACATCTTACTAAATGGTGAAAACCAAAAGCTTTTCCTCTCAGATCAGGAACAAGACAAGGAGGACCACTCTTACCACTTTTATTCAACAGAGTATTAGAAGTTCTAGCCACAGCAATGAAAAAAAAAAAAAAAAAAGGAAAGACATCCGAATTGCTAAGGAAGAAGTAAAACTTCTACTATTTGCAGATAACATGATACTATATATAGAAAACCCTAGACTCCACCAAAAAACTACTAAAACTGATAAATGAATTCAATGAAGTTGCAGGATACAAAATTAATGAACAGAAATCTGTTGAATTTCTATACACTAATAACAAAGTAGCAGAATGAGAAAGATTTTTAAAATCCCACTTACATCGTACAAAAATAATAAAACCTCTAGGAATAAACTTAAGGAAGTGAAAGACCTGTACTCTGAAAATAATAAAACACTGATGAAAAAAACTGTAGGTGACACAAATGGAAATTCCATGATTTAATGCAATCCCTATCAAAATAGCAACATTTTTTATAGAACTAGAACAAATAATCAGTATTTTCTTTGGAATCACAAAAAAAAAAAAAAAAACCCTAAAGAGCCAAAGCAATACTGAGGAAGAAAAACAAAGCTGGATTTAATAATCAATCCCGGATTTCAAGATACTCTATAAAGCTGTAATAATCAAAACAGTATGGTACTAGCACAGAGACACATGAATCAATGGAACAGAATAGAAAGCGCTGAGATAAACCGAAGCATATATAGTAAATTAATCTAGGACAAGGGAGGCAAGAGTAAATAAAACGAGGAAAGAGAGTCTCTTCAATAAATAGTGCTGTGAAAATTGCACACCTACATGCGAAAGAACAAAACTGGACCATTTTCTTACCCCGGACACAAAAACAAACTCAAAATGGACTAAGACCTAAATGTGATACCAGAAACCATAAAATTCCTAGAACAAAATAGGCAGTAATTGGACATTGGCTAGATCTGTCTCCTCAGGCAAGGGAAACAGAAGCAAAAACAAAGTACTGAGACTACACCAAAATAAAAAGCTGTTACGTAGTGAAGGAAACCATCAACAAAAAAGGCAACCTAATGAAGCAGAGAAGATATCTGCAAGTGATACATCTGATAAGACGTTAATATGGGTGTGTATCCTATAACTTCTACAACTTAACACGCAAGAAATAATCTGATTAAAAATGGGCAGAGGACCTGGACAATTGTCCCAAAGACATAGAGATGGCCAGGAAAAGATGGTCAACATCACTAATCACCAGGGAAATGCAAATCAAAAGCACAATGAGATGTCATCTTATGTCTGTCAGAGTGGCTAAAATCAAGAACACAAGAAACACATGTTGCCAAAGATGTGGGAAAATATGACCCTCGTGCACTGGGAATGCCAAATGGTGCAGCCATGGTGGAAAACAGCATGGAGGTTCCTCAAAAAAATTAATCTGAAAAGATAAATGCACTCCCATGTTTATTGAAGTATTATTTAAATAGCCAAGATATGGAAGGAACCCAAGTGTCCATGGACAGATGAATGGATAAAGGTGTGGTACATATAAACAATGGAATACTAGCCATAAAAAAGGATGAGATCTTGCCATTTGCAACAACATGTATGGACCTAGGGGTACAATGCTAAGTGAAGTCAGTCAGAGAAAGATAAATACCATATGATTTCACCCATGTGGAATTTAAGAGACAAGGGATAAAATGGGACAAAAACAACATCATCAACAAAAAAAAGAAAAGAAAAGAAAAGAAAAGAAGACTCAAATACAGAGAACTGGTGGTTACCAGAGGGGAGGTGGGTGAAATAAAGGGGATTAGGGGATTAAGAGGACACATATCATGATGAGCACTGAATAATGTATAGAATTGTTGAATGATTATATTGTACACCTAAAGCTAATATAACACTCTAGGTTAATACTTCAATGAAAATAAAATGTACTGTTTCCCGCAATAACCTCAGCATCACACCATGTTTGACCTAAAAAGGAACTAAGAAATCACTCATTACATTTTACAGATGAGGAAACTGAGGTTTTCAACAACCATATAGGCACTCAGCGGCAGCACCAAAACAGGAGGCCATGTCTCTAAATTCTAGTCCACACCATTCAACCTTGGAAACACTATGATCAGGTTTAATTCTGAGATATTAAATCTGATCCACTGCAGTTGAGTCTTATAGGTGGGAAGTAGGAGGTACATAAACTCAACTTCCTTAGTTTCTAGTATCCTTGGGGTCTGCTGCCTGAATAATTTGAAGGGAGCAGAAATGACATTTCCTTTTAATTTTTAAACAGCTCTGTAATATGTAGAAATAGGAGACTTCAAGTTATTACAAAAGTAGTATCTAAAGGTGCTAACAGGGAATCCCTGGGTGGCTCAGCGGTTTAGCGCCTGCCTTCAGCCCAGGGCATGGTTCTGGAGTCCCGGGGTCGAGTCCCACATCGGGCTCCCTGTGTGGAGCCTGCTTCTCCCTCTACCTGTGTCTCTGTCTCTCATGAATGAATAAATAAAATCTTTTAAAAAAAAATAAAAATAAAGGCACTAATAAACACACTAAAATGTAATTTGCAGGAGGTTACTAACTCTCTCTTATTAAATGACTCATCAACTCACCAGAACTAAATTTCCTGATTCAAGTCCCTATTCTGATTCTTTATAGAGTGCTAATTGAAGTACATTTCATATGGAAGAGATTCCTGGAGCAAAGATCTAAGTTTCAGGCTAATTTAACTATCCATAGTAGTTATAGGTAATAAAAATTCAAGAACTTCATTTTATTGAAACATCCAATCATTCCCTCCCTCAAGTTTTTCCTTAGAATGGACAAAGGTGACAAAATGAATCTGCTTATCTTCTTTGAACATATTGTATTGTTGACTAAAGATTACACAGGAGAAATGGAGATAGTATACAAATGAAAAGATCTGAGTCACCACAAAAACATTTCTGCTTGGTTCCTCTACTACTATTCTACCTGAAAGTCATTCCCTTTCACTCTTTCACTAATGCAAGAGAAAAAGGAGCAACAGCAATGACTCCAAAATAGGTGACAACTTCCTTCTTTGGGCTGAACTTTTTTATGAAAGAATGAGAAAGCACACGTCTTATCAACTGCAGTATGCAGCTGAAGACTGTGCCTAGATTAGCAAGCAACATTTTTATTCCTTTCAAGTTAAAGGTATAACTCAGAGTTCTTTCTAACAGTGGCCTTCAATAAAATACTAAGATGGACAAAATGGAGATCTTGAAACAGGAACAGTATCAAAACTAGTATGACTATAATATTATTTCCAAGTCACCGAAATATTAGAATGCAAAAGTAAACATCCATAATCAAGAAAATAAAATTGGGAACAAAATATAGAAGGGTATAAAATGTATTTAACTACTGATGACTGTCAGTGTTGCCATTGTAAAATAAAGTGTAAAATTAGTTCTATATACCATAAAGCGGTTCATGTTTCCTTCAAAATAGTAACGTTCGACATTTCAATAATTAAACATTTTCTATGTGAATAAATTATGTGAAAATATTGTTTTTTTCTCCAACATACTAGGTACTTAAGCCTGCTACTGCACTAATTTCCCTAGCAAATACAACATTTTATAAACTTAACTAACATGCTAAAAGCTACTGAGTGCCATCAATTAGCTAAGGATTACTAAAACAATCAGTCGTACCATATCATATCATAGATTCTCCTATTCAATTGCTAAATTTATTAAAAACAAACACACACCGTTAACAAAGGAAAAAAGATTTCCTACCTCTATTTCAGAAGCCGACATGTACACAGCCAGAGTAACCAAAGATAATACTAATATAATGTATGGGAAGGCATAATCTGAAAAATAAATCGGTATTATACTGAAAATTAAATTTTCTGAATAAACCATCAAAATAATTCAGACAGTTTTTAAAATTCTCTCAATAGTTGAAAACTTTCTCAACCAGTCCTATGTGAGACTTAAGCCCTAATGCCCTAAGGCAGGGGTCAAGAAACTTTCTGTAAAGGACCAGATAGTAAATATTTTTGGCTTTGTGGGCCATACAGTCTGTCTCAATAACCCAAGTCCCATTGCAGTGGGAAACAGCCAGACAATACACAAATGAATGGGTGTGGCTATGTTCCAATAAAACTCTAGGAGCAATAAATTCCAAATTTCATATAATTTTCACACATTAAGAATTACTACTCTCTCTCAGAGCACCCCTCTCTCAATTTTTTTTTTTAACCAAAATAAAAAGATAATGGTCAACTCAGACTCTGTAAGAAACCCACACTTCAGATAAAAATAGCCCTTTTGATAAGGGCAACACAACTCAGTGTGGGAATAAGAAAAGTGCAGAGGAATGTTGAAACTATCCTGGATAAGATCCCCTTATTTCTTTCTACTGTTTAAAAAATGTAAAACTATCCTTGGCCCAGTTTTGAAGACCCCTACCTTAAGGCATCCATTGAATGTAATGATTAGTTTCTGTCTACGCATCTACAATACTAGTATGTACCAAACTTGGGGGGATTGAGAAAGTAATTATGCAAATAATTTTGTTTTGTGGTCCAAATGGGGGATGTTGGTTGAAAAAAGCTATATGGTTTTAATTACTCTTTAGAAAAGCTGCTATATCAGTAACCTCAAGGGATAAATGGATCATTCAGTGTTCTTTATGTCAAAATTCTAGATATTTTGGGATGCCTGGGTGGCTCAGTGGTTGAGCATCTGTCTTCAGCTCAGGGTGTGATCCCGGAGTACTGGGATCGAGTCCCACATCAGGCTCCCTGCATGGAGCCTGCTTCTCCCTCTGCCTGTATCTCTGCCTCTCTGTATCTCTCATGAATAAATAAAGAAAATTCTAGATTTTTCTACTTCAAACAAAATTTTTTCTTATAAAATACTTTCTCTTAAAATGTTTTCAATTTATAGCACACTAAAGCAAACAAACACATTGAGAATAAAATCTTGAATTACTTTTCATATAATTATTTTAAAACAACTTCAATTTATGAAACCACTAATCATTCTACATTGCAGTGGAACCCATTTGGAACAATTTCAAATGTTAATTCAGAATGTAGAAACTCTATCTATACAGGCTCAATTCCAACTTACTAAGTAAATAACTAAATGCCTTGTTTGACATTTAAAACCTTTTATTTCATAGACCGTAATTAGGTCCTGAACCAACCACACACACAAAAAAAATCCTATTTAATTTATAGTTAATGTTGCTAATGCTACAAATCTAAGACTGAGTAGTAAAAAGCCATCTAAGTTAAAAAGAGAAAGAAGTTTCTAATAAGGCCCAAACTTGTGGGGAGTAGAGGGTGGTCTTGGGTTCATGGAAGCATTTAGGTCTTGCACTCAGGCATGGCTGTTACAAGGTTTTAAAATTTGAGATTTTGAGCAACTAGGCCTAGGGGATAAAGCCTGAGAATCTGCATTTTCATTCCCCTAGTGGTTCAGATGCAGATCACACTTACAAACTGGTTTCCAAATTCCAAGCAGGTAGAACTTGTCACAGACCTCTTCCTAATAACTTCTCATCAACCTATTTTATTTGCTTTTTTAAATATTTGCTTCTGTTGCCTATTCAGTAGTTACTAAGTCAGAAAGCTACTCTATTCTCCTATTCCCTCACCCCTATGTTTAGTCAGTTACCTAGTTAACTGATCTTCAAAATACTCTCCATTCCCAGTGCTTCTCTGCTTTAGGCCAGCCAGACTTGGCTAGCTGCAATAACCTCTTAACTGATCCTCCAGGTCCTCTTCCCCTGCCAATCCATCTTCTACACTGCTATGAATTTTCTTTCTAAAATGCATGCCAGTCTTCTGCCTAAAATCCTTAAAGGGTGGGTCTCTATTCCCTAGAACAAGAATAGCAACCTCACATACCCACAGAGGCCAGCCAGGCAGGTAAATAATAGAAGTGGACCAAATCTAAGACAACAGGAAATGGTAGGAGCTAGAAGGAGCTATACATTTTCAAGTACTATGCAGGCCAACTGAAACAATACATCTGTAAACTAGAATATAAGGGATAACAGACTTCTGACTAGTCTCCAATTTCCTCTTCCCTTGGCCTCACCTTCACAGTGCCATCCTCCTCTAGAGCCAAATTCATTATCAAGCTACAAAATGATGCCAGTCTTGCCTAGCCCCTTTAGACCAGAAGACTTGTCCTCTGTACCTTGGTAGGCTCCACGTAGATGGCATCTAACATCCCTGCAATATTCAATGTCACATATTCAAATAAGTACTATACTACATCGTCTCAGCTACTCATAGCTTTCCTACTAGTATGTCAGCCTTTAACACCAACTTTTTCCTATTCTTCTTTTGAGTCATATTCAGTCTAAACAGTTGAATAAATGAATGGCTACATTGAAATAAAGAATATACTGAGGATTCTTTTACTGTATCTAAATGGCTTTAATAAAGGCACTCAAAAATTGAGGACATAACTTAATAAATTTTAGTACATATCAACAGTAACTTCCATATGTTACATGCAAAAACAAGTTCTTGCTTTTTAATTCATACTCAGGTTTTTTAAATATTCCTACTTAGTTTATAAGCTTCAGATACAAATTATTCTCTAAATAGAAATCAGCTTTGACTAACTTGAGACTATTCCATCCCAAGAAGCACATTTTTTATTGTTTTTGTAAGACTGATTATGTTTTAGCAAAAATATTTTCAAGGATTAAAAAAACAATTTAAAGAAAGATCCAAAGTTATAGAGAATATACTGTTTATCACATATACAAATACATTTCATTGACTTGACCCATCAAACTTACATAAAAGGCCTCCACCAACTGCCTGAAGCACAGTTAAAATTGGGAAGAAGTAAAGTGCAGCATAAATACTTTTAAATCGATCAGACTTTCCTAACCCACAGGCAATCTTCTTTACCAGGAGGGGTCGGAGTAGCATCATCAATACCAAGCAGAATGCATAATAGATAAATACAATAGTGTACCTGTAAAATAAGTCAAGGAATCATAACATTGAAATTATGTTTTAAAATATTACTGATCAATTTAAAATCAGAGATGCTAAAAAAGGTTTAAAACGTATATTAAGTCAACCTACTAACTCAAAGTTCTAGTAATGTAAACATTTTTTATAATAAGTTTCTAATAGAAATTTGCATGCTGTTCCATGTCTCATCTAACTAAGTTCCCCTCAAAAACTACAATTATCGGTAAAGTATCCCGGTATTTTTCAGTCTGTAAGGAACAAGGCTATATATCAATGGAGAAAATAATCAATGTAATAGTGTTCCAAAGGCTCCTGGTAATTTTGTGCCATTACTTTCTGTTGACCCACAAAAGAAAAAAATTTCTGTAACTTTTGGTAGTCCTGCAGCTTTTTTTAAGTTTTGTTTTTTTGTTTGTTTGTTTTTAGTAATCTCTATGCCCAACCTGGGGCTTGAACTCACAACCCCAAGATCTCAATCCTGAGATCTTCCAACTAAGCCAGCCAGGCATTCTGGGTAGTCCTGCTGCTTTCTGAAAAGTTTAGCCCCAGTCTAGCCACATAGTTACAATGAAATGGCTATGTAAAGTAAATAATATGTATAAAACCAATATTAATTTGTATGATTAATAAAGCAGACAGGCCACTGCACAGTGACTGTTGGTAAAGCTACTGAGGAAAAAAAATATCTACTTAATTCAAATTCTGATCAATGAAGTTGTATGAGGATATGGCTGTATGGCCACAGAATGAGGGTCGAGGGCACCTATTTGCCATCTGTTCTTAGAATTTGCTGACTCTCCTACTATATGCTTTATAGATAGTATAAAAAACACTATCTATGTGACCAGCAATAAATAAGTCTGATTTTGTCTTAAATAAGATGGTTATATATAATATCTGATTCCCTTATTCAGTTCTTTAAATAGAACAAGGTTAAGTTGGCAGTCCCCTGGATAATATACGAGATGAGAATAATTGAAACTCTGAAACCAAATGAGAACACTTTACTGGTCTTTTATATACAGTATTATATGTAAATTATATGTATATCTAGAGAGAGCATATATACAGGAAATAAGTAATTTACAGGGCTTAATAGTAGGCAGGTGGAAAGATGTTCATATCTCTGTATCTGGAACTTTTTACATTGCAGGTGTTTTTCCCACTTAGTACTCTTAAGAACCTGCAGAAAAAGGACTATTTTCTTGAGCATATTATGTAATGGTAACTTGCTACAACTATGGGAAACTCTCATATTACACCTTTCCAAGAAAAACATCAAAATGAACATGAAGAGAAATTCTAAAAATGAAGTACTCTGGCACAGTATTAGTCTTATGGATTTAATATTTTTAAAACAAAATATTCTCATGAAAATTATAAACATTTGCTTTGGAAAAAAACAAAAAAAAAAACATTAACTCTAATAATAATGCCAAGCTACTATCTTGTATGTAAGGCACTGCACATGGTGTCTGATATGTGCAGACTTATTTAATCCTCAAAATCACCTTATGAGGTACCATTATTTCCATTTTTACCAATGGGAAAACAGAGGTTACAAGCTCTTAACATGATCAAATCACCACAGTGGCTCCGGATTCAAACTCAAGCCTGTTTTTAGCTCCAAAGCCCACACTCTTTCATCTATGTCAGATATTGCTTCTCTGTTGCATATCATAAAGGTTTTCCTTAAAACTCTCTTTTAAAGAAAACAGATATTGCTTATTTTAGAAATGCTTATACACACTTCAACACCAACACAAAAGTACTTTCACTTGTATTATACTAAGATGCATTTGATGCATTTCTATTCTCTTCCCTAAAGAGAAGAAAATCATTTCTATCTCCCCCAGTGCCTAGAAGCCATTTTCAATAATCTGTTGAAATGAATAAATTATATTATAATTTTTTAAATGATCTTCAGTCTATATAAATACTTACAGTGGGTAGACAGCTTCATGAGTACAGTGCACTGTGGTAACATAGTCGGGACTTGGATTGTAAAGCATCGTATACCAATCAGAAAGCATTAGTACTCGACATGAACGGATATACAGAACACCAACTGGATCACTCACAAGTAAGGTGATAATAGCCGCCATACTGCATTCAAATAATGCAGTGATGTGCTGGAAAAGTGCACTGGAACTAGTAAAACAAAAGTAGCACAATTACCAGAAAATTTTCACTATTTAGATGGCTTTAAGAAAACCTGTATGTTCCAAATACAGATTCTAAAAGGAATGTTTAACTGATAAATCCTGAAACTAAAATATCTTCTAAATAGGTCAGAAAAGTCAAACATGAAAACCACTTGAGAAGAGTTTAACCCTCCATCCTAAAAAAGGGATTCTCATCCCAGATAACACTGTGCCAGTATTTTCTAAATGTAAAGAGCAGAAATTAAAATGTTCCTTTATCGGGATCCCTGAGTGGCGCAGCACTTTAGCGCCTGCCTTTGGCCCAGGGCGCCATCCTGGAGACCTGGGATCGAATCCCACGTCCGGCTCCCGGTGCATGGAGCCTGCTTCTCCCTCTGCCTGTGTCTTTGCCTCTCTCTCTCTGTGTGACTATCATAAATAAATAAAAATTAAAAAAAAATAAACACTCTGCATCTTTCTTTAAAAAAATAAATAAATAAAATAAAATAAAATGTTCCTTTATCTCAAGTGACTTGCCAAACTGTTTAGAATGTCTTAGTTACCTATGCATCATTATCTTAAATATAAAAAGCACAGAAAAAACTATATTAATACAGATTAGTTATCAAGTAAAATAAAAATTATAAGTTCATCATCTAACTCAATAACTAGAACATTAGCAACCTGTATTTACCTCTGTTCCTTCCTCATTCCCTAATCCTGGCTCTTCCCCAAGAGGTAACCATTATATTAAATTCTCTTTATCACTTTTTCTGAAGTTTTTATTCCAATTAGATTATGCTTCAAAATAATCTAATGTCTAGTTTTGCTTATTTTAAAAAATTTATTTATTTGAGAGAGAGAGAGAGAAAGAGCACACGTGAGCAGAGGAGCAAAGAGAATCTTAAGCACACTCCCCACTGAGCATGGAGCCTGACTTGGGGCTTGATCTCACCACCCTGAGATCATGACCTAAGCCAAAATCAAGAGTTGGATGCTTAAGTGACAGAGCCACCCAGGCACCCCAAGTTTTGCTTATTTTTAAACACTATAAAGTGATACACATCTTTTTTCCATTCAAAATTACATTTCCAAGATTTATCCATGGTATTGTTTATACCTAAAGTTGTCATTTTCACTGCTGTATAATATTCTCTGTGCCCATTCCATTGTTTATCCATTTTTGGTGTTTTGCAGTTTAATTATAATGTGAATAGGTATGAATTTCTTCTTCTTTATTCTGCTTGGAATGTGTTTTGCTTCCCCAGAAGCAGTTCTGCAAATCTATTTTTCACCATTTCTGTAAAATCCAAATATATCTTTAAATGTTTTTTCTCCTTCATTTTCTCTATTTTTTCTGAAGACTCTTATTAGAAACTATGCACAAATTTAATAAAACTTTTCATTCTTACACAAGACTCTTTCAGTTAACTCTAGCTCAGTTTCTCTGGAAGCCAAAGAAGGGTAAAATGTCAACTTTATTGCCAGGCAACACTACTTAGGATATGAACAATTCCTTGATTGGCCAACTGTATCTGGACTGAGGAGAACTATAAATAAGCAATAAATATCTGATGGGGACACCACGGTCTGGTTTGAGTTCAGCAATTCTTATAACTGGCATGTCCCTTGCAGGACTCTGGCAGCTATACTTACGTGGAAAGGTTACAGAAACACTGGCTCCTTCAGGGCAGAAGACCTTAAGCTTGGACTCCCACACCCACTCAAGTGTGCATTTTATCTTCCTGCAGCTGAGTTCAACTGCTTCCTTGTAGGCAAGCTGTGTTCCTTCTAGGTAAACTAGTGCCTGTTATGACCTATGGTAGTCTCTAGATAATGTTTAATTGAACCTAACTTGATTCCCAGCAGGTATTACAGACACATATTAGTTTCTTATCCTATGCTTCATTTCTCTTAATGTATTTCCTGTTTTCTACCTCCTTTTCTCTCAGCATTGCATTATTTCTTCAGATACATGTATCTCCTAATGCACTAATTCTGCCTTCAACTGTTTAATCTGCTGACCTACCATTTTAAAAATTTCATTTCTAGAAGTTCTTTTTGTTTTTTTAAACCAATCTGTTTGTTCATTCCCAATAATTTCTTGTTGACTCTTGGAGATCTTTGGGACTACATCCTTCATTTCTTTAAGCACTATACAAGCAGCAGTTTTATAGTGTATAGCTGAAAGTCCATTCTCTGCAGTCCTTCGGAAGCATAACTATATTGTTTGTCTACCCACTCTCATAGTGATTTTATTTGGTTATCATGGAGTATAAAGTCATTAATAAATACTGATGAGTAAGAGTTTTATGGGCCTAAACTGAGAATGGAGAAGCTGCAAAGATGATCTGCTACCCACTACCATCTTGGGCTTCAGCCTCTTGAGAGTCCAGGCTTCACACTGGCTCCCTCAGATTCAGTACCTGCTGCTGGCAGCAATTAACTGCAGGCAACAGTCCATTCCTGCTGTCTGCTCTGTCACTCTGGCCACAGCTTAGGGTGGGTTGGTTTGTTTTCTAAAAAAAGAGAATTCTTGGAGATATCCCGTCTCCAGTGAGACCAGCAATGTCTTAAGTAGTATTATCTTTTCCAAACTTCAGTTATTTCTTGCAGGAGGGTCACTTGGAACTCCTAATTAGCCCATATTATTGGAAAAACTCCTGCATGATTTTACACAGTTGGAAACAGTGAATATGTAAAGAAACATTTACAATTTCAGATAATATAATCTAGTATTTTGCTTCCTTATAGGATTCTTATTTTTCGAAGCAATATCCCAACCTCCTCATTTCTTGCTATTACTTTTATAACCTTACTCGTCTCTTCTCATCATGCCCCCTTTCAGTCTGTCTACAGCCAACCACATAATCTTTACAAAACAAAATCAGATCCTAAATCTCCCCTTATTAGACTATTCAATGAGTCCCACCTGTCTTTCAGGAAAAATACTCTTTACCAGCATTATTTTCTACATCTCCTGCCCATGCTACCTTCCTTTTCTCCCCAAGGCTCCACACATGTGGGCATGCTTCACTTACCTATCTGGCAAGCTGTGTATCCTTTAAGAACAGCTCTGGGGCTATCCCCAGGTCTAATGAATATTTCCTAAGATTCCTGTAGCCCCAAATCTCTTTATATCCTGGTCTCATTAGTCCTTATTTCTCATATGACACTCAGCTCTCATTTGAATATACTGTGTGCTTTTTGGCCTCCATTACTTTTACACATCTTTTTCCTGCTCTTTCTTCAATTCCTATCAAAATCTACTCACTCTTCAAGTCCAGCCTTAAGTCAGTTTTTTCTTCTGTGACACCACCCTATTTTGAGAAGGCAAAATTAATTTCTTTCCTCTTCATGCCAGTCTTAAAATGCTCCAAAAACCTCTATTACAGAACCTCATAAATATTGTGATGGCTTGTCATCTCAACCACTGTACTGTGAGCATCCACATTTCAGGCATCTCTGAATCTTGCAACCCAGTACAGCATCTGGCACATTGCAAACATCTTTAATGATTCCTGAATGAATACATCTTAAAAGTTATGAATTACATAAGAACAAATCACATAAGAAGCACAGCTTCTCACTATACTGCATAAAATTACGAGATTTTGATTATCTTTGCCTTGATCTTTAAAAAAAAAAAAAAAAAACAAATTTAATACTCAACTCTGGGGAAAGCAAAAGTACCAGAAAGGAAAGTTCTTCTGAGAGTCTGGCCCATGCATTCTCAATGGGTGACTGCACTCCTAAGAGGGAAAGAATTGGCTCTTGGGGATAAAATAATCTTATATTTGTTATATATATATATGTATATAATATATATATATAGCATGCACACAAATATATATAGCACATAGATGCATATACAACATAAACAGATAAACATTTATGGCATTAAAATTTCTTTTTTTTTTTTTAAAGATTTTATTTATTTATTCATGATAGTCACACAGAGAGAGACAGAGAGGCAGAGACACAGGCAGAGGGAGAAGCAGGCTCCATGCACCGGGAGCCCGACGTGGGATTCGATCCCGGGTCTCCAGGATCGCGCCCCGGGCCAAAGGCAGGTGCCAAACCGCTGCGCCACCCAGGGATCCCGACATTAAAATTTCATTGGGGTAGGTGGAATTAGGAAAAAAGAGTATCTAAAAAGGCTCCTTATTTAAGGAAGGGACAGTGAATAAAAGGTTGAGAAACTCTGGTCTAGCCTGAGACAAGTAGGCCTCTACTTCCTTGGTTACAAGGGCAACATCTCAGGAAAATGCAAATGATGGCTCTTATGTACTTGGCTGCCAATTTCCTAGGCAAAGCATACCTAAATTATGCAAACTCCTTCTTTTTAAACCCACTTGCTTTTCCTGCCTGAGCACTAATCATTCCTCGGCTCTATCCTCAAACCAAACCCCACGCTTTGCTCCAAGACTCTCCCTCAAAACATACCTGATGTTTTAATTCAAATGCATTTCATAAGTTACATCTCTATACCCCCATCTCTTCCCTGCTTATGGCTGATAAGTTCCAACCAACTAGTTGAGCAATTATTCCACTTTAGCTTTCAATTTCTCGCATCTCCTTTCTTGCCTCCATCTCTCATTGTTCTAAACAGAAATTAAAAGATGAGAGCTACTTTTTAAAAAACCTATTCACGGTTCAAATTGAAAAAGAACAAATGCTTTTCCAAGATAAATAATCAGCCTGGATTTATTAGGTGGGATCCAGAAAACTACTAATTCTATTTCCATTGGCCTATCCTTTCCACTACCATCCACACTACTGGAGTCGAGCCATCCCTACTTCTTGGAAAGTCTTCTAATATGCCTCACCTCTAATCTACCATCTACAGAAGTCATTTTCCTCAAATATACAGCCAGTGATGCTACTTCTCTAAACAAAAACCTTCACCAATAAATCATTCATTCAGCAAATACTAAATGAGCACCTGTTATGTGCCAGCTGCTGTGGTTTCTGGAGATTCCATGGAAAACAGAGATGGACACTGCCCTCACAGACTTCTAATCGGGAAATGGGAGGTAATAAACTTAACCATAAACTGTATTGAATGCTAAATGCAAAACAAAACCAATAAAATGAAGAATGCTATTAAAAAAAGAAAAAATAAGGGGGGCAGATCTACTGTAGATTGGGTCAAGAAAGTCTTCTATGGGTATAATTTAAACTGAAATCTGGAGGAAAAAAAAAAAAGCAGCTAGGTAAAAAGTTGTAGTCAGAAGGAGAAGAGAGCATCTGAGGCAGAGAAGAGGTGGTGAAAGGGAAAGGACCTAAAGCAGAAAGATACTGAGAAGATACTAATTTAGCTCCTCAATCCCAGTATAAACTTTTTCACTTCCTTGAACCTTCACATTCTGGAGGCACCTGAGTGGCTCAGTCTTTTAGGCCACTGACTCTTGGTTTTGGCTCACATCATGATCTCAGGGATGATGCCCTGCCATCAAGCTCCACACTCAGTGCGGAGTCGGCTTGTATCTCTCCCTCTGCTCACACGTGCAAGCACACTATCTTTCTCAAATAAACAAACAAACATACTTTCACATTCTGATCTCAATCTACTTTTCCCACTCTCCTGTTTATTACCCTTCTCTGATGAGTCATCCATACTGACCAACCCAGACTACTTCCAGTCCCACCTTCCATACAGCAACACATTTCATACCTCCATGCCACTGTTCCTGCTATTTCTTCTGCCTAAAATGTTTTTTTTTTTTTAAGATTTTATTTATTTATTCATGAGAGACTCAGAGAGAAAGAGAGGCAGAGACACAGGCAGAGGGAGAAGCAGGCTCCATGCAGGGAGCTCGACGTGGGACTCGATCCCAGGTCTCCAGGATCATACCTCAGGCTGCAGGCGGCGCTAATCCACCACCAGGGCCGCCCCTAAAATGTTCTTTTGAAGTCTTTCACATCCCACCAGGCACAATTTATCTCTTACATTCTTTGTGATTCCAGAGTATTTTCTTCATAATGCCCCCCCTTTTTATTCATAGAGGCACACACACAGAGAGAGAGAGGCAGAGACACAACACAGGCAGAGGGAGAAGCAGGCACCATGCAGAGAGCCTCACATGGGACTCAATCCAGGGTCTCCAGGATCACGCCCTAGGCTGCAGGCGGCGCTAAACCACTGCGCCACCGGGGCTGCCCCTTCATAATGCTTTTTTTAAAGATTTATTTTAGAGAGAGAGAATCTCGTAACAGACTCCCCCACTGAGCACAGAGCCTACATGCAGGGCTGGCCCCCATGACCCTGAGATCATGACCTGAGACAAAACCAAGAGTCAGATGCCTAGCCCCACTGAGCCACCCAGGTGCCCCTCATAAAGCTTTTATATACTTTTTACTTATACACTTTAAAAACTGATTTATATAATTAGTTGTACATACACTTGTCTTCTCTATAAGATTATGACTATAAACCACATCAGTTATTTGTTTACCTCCTCCCCTGATCTTCTAAACATAAAACAGAGCTCAATAAATGCATGCTGACTTAATGTTTAGTATCAGTTTTCATAATTAGGTTGCAGCTATGTCATTTTAACTTCATTATACATTACTAGTATTAAATCAAATCACAAAGAATTTGTTCTACAATATACAGTTTGTAATCATAATCAATTCTTTGTAGAAAACCCATAAAGACTGCAATTGAGAAATGAAAATTCCTTCAAGATCATTTAGAGTAAAACAAAGGACACTTCCCTTTATAATTACTGAGGCATGCCTTATCATTTAAGTTCTCTTGCCACAGTCAGAAGTAATCAGAATATAAAGCAAAAACAGGTTCACTGCAAAATTATTTAATAAGATCTTCTAAATTATCATTATTCTAACATCAGTCCATGCAGATACATTCACAGAAAGTGCTAACCTCTTTTTCCCCGAGTACCATTCAATGAAGAACCAATGTAAAACAAGAGGAAGCATAGCCATAAATCCAAGATACAGCCAATCATAAAGTTCTGGAGACTCTGTGCAAGGCTGACAATATTTCTGTGCATTTGTTCTCTGTCCTCTCGGACATACCTACAATATAAAAACAGTATTTTATGTACAGATATTATTTTAGAATATTAATATCCCAGAGTTATTCTATAGACATTTCATTTCAGTTTAAACACACACACACACATATATATATGTATATGCATCTTGTAGAAATAAAAAAGTGCACACGTAAAAGAAATCTACATTGTATTTGGTGCATCTGTATAACACTCTTTTAAAAGATTCCTTTTGCTAAGTTATTAAAATAGTTGACTAATATTAAATCATAAACTTAGTAATGCTATATAAAAATAATTGCAGAGAAAAGTTCTGGAGTTTTAATGTTAACTTACTGCCCAAGACACTGCACTATAGCCTTAATAAGTAATTAAAGATTACTATAAAATTATAAAATGTTTTTAAAAATACTTAACTGTGACTGTTAAGATGTATTATAGACAATCAATATGACAAGAATTTTATTAATGCCTCATTTTTATAAATTAATGAGGATATTGAAGAAAAAAGATATTTTACACTTGAAAATACTTCAAAAGCAAAGAATTTAGCAATGAAATAACATTCAAATGTTAAAATTAAGACTTACCCCACATTCTCCATATATTTCAGTTGAGCCATTTTTAAATAATAGGGTCTTCCCACAGTAAAGTCCAAGGCATGCTGGTTGAATATCGACAGCTTTTTAAAAACAAATGCCAGTAAAGTAACATCTTTTGTGATTATAAAAAATAATATATTAACAGCTGAAGAACTTGGCATAAGTATCTCATCACAGTTCAATTAGAAGTGATACATATTAGACAAAAGTCTTTTTAATTTTAAAGATGCAATTATTTTTAAACTTAAATTTCTCCTTTTACGCTGTGACACTGCAGAAAGTTATACTGCAACCTCGTGGTTAATGCTATTCCTAATGATTAAGACCCCTCAACCAGCAGAGTGGCATCTACCCCCCAGAATTCAAAGCTTAACCTGTTATGTCTCCAATGGCTCCAGCAGCTGGTCCCTCTCGATTAGTCTAGATTTTCGCATTTTCATTTTTTTATTTAGAAAACTAATAGAGGATCACCACCTCTGATTTTGCCCAGTCAGAACATTAAGTGTGCACACAAACACAGAGACACAGAGTATCACCTTCGTTCATAATAGAACACATTTTAATACCAGAAAAGCAGAAAAGATATAATTTCAAAATAGGAGGTAAATGTATTTAAGGTGAATAAATTCACCTTTACAAAAAGCTTACTCTACCGTCCTACATTTTGTCATTTTTGTTGAGGACAGGTGAAAATTTCATCAAGGCTGTCCCTAGGCATCTGACCAATATCTGGGAACAACTACCTTAGAATCAACCCCCTGCTCTCAAGGCTTGTGCAAAATATAAAGTTCTTCTTTACAAAAAAAAAAAAAAATAAGGGCCTAGAGAAGTTATTAAAGGAGTTCTTTTTTTTCATCAGAGACATCTGATTTCCTTCATTCGTTCAATAAATGTGCATCATTAAGTATCAGATTCCATGGCTAGGGATTTCTAAAGATCCACAGAGCAACAAACAAGAGTCTCTGCCCTCAAAGAACCTACAGCCTAGAGGAGAATAAATCCAAAACAACTGTGGTCAAATGTGATTTAATTTAGAAAATTATGCATTTTATGACTATTGTGGGGGCCGAGGGCAGGCTCTCAAAACGTCCCACTTTGGCATACTGATCATTTTAAGTAAAAGTTACTTAAGAAACAAGAGGGGCAAGGACACTCAGCCCTCCTTTGTCCCCCTGAAAGCAGAGAACAAATCTCCCATGTGAAAAATATCCTCCCTATACTAAGACATAAAAAGACATCCTTATTACCAGTGTTAATGCTTTAAAGTCAAAAAAGCTGCAGAAAAAAAAAACAAAACCCTGTTACTTTTTCACTAAGCTATTACCTTATTCCAAACACCTGTTTTCCTTTTCTTGTAAATTCCTAATTTAATTGCCTCTCTGTCAACAATGCATTATAGAATTGCCTGCTTTGGTCAGTTCTTAAGGTCTCAAAACCATACTTGGGCCTTCATGCACACATAATAAAACTTGGCAGGTTTTTTTTTTCTTCCTGTTAATCTGTCTCATGTAAATTTAATTTTTCAGTCCAGCTGGAAGACCCTGCGAGTAGAGAGGAACTTTTCTTTTGTTTCACTATTCTTGAATAATTTCCCAAATTCTTCATGAACTCACACTAGAGACCGCTTGGTCCACAATGCCCTTTCTCCTTTCAAATTCAAGCAGGCTTTTGATTTCTTTCTCCTTGTGCTGCTGAGAACAGAAATAGCACCGACTACAAGGTCTCAGGTTTAACATTTTCACTTTTACCACATTTCTGACTTCTTACCCATGGTCTTCTTTACCTTAATTGGCACTTAATTTTTAATCAATTGTAATCACCTATGTCCTAAACCACTAACAGACAAGAATGAATTTTCAGAGTTTTTGAGAAGACAGAAGCTGAACAATTGGAGGCTTCTTTCACATGGATTTTGCATTTAGTGGATGTTGAATAGATACACCTGAATGTGAATAATCTAAAGTTCTTAAAGCCCAAGGCCTGAAAACCACCACGGTAAACTAAAAACAACAGCTCATCACAGACCAAACGGCTCAGCACAGGCCACTCGCCGGGTCCGTTCAATTTCCCCTCCCATTTCCGTTTATCGGAGGGTGGTTAAAATTTTAAGATTCCCCCCCCCCTTTTTTTTTTTGCAACGGTCTTGTCCCTTGGTGAAGGGCCTTTAAACTTAAGGTCCGATGCTGCAGCGGGCAAGAGTCCTGCAGGCAATTAGCTTCCGCTTCCTTTCCTGTTTGTTGGCACTTTAAATTCTCAAGTCAACCCTCACCAATGCTAAACCAAGAGGCCAAAACAAAGGGGCTGAAGCGACCTCCCGAACAGCACCGGCCTGGCCTTGGTCCCGGCACGCAGCCCGCCTCCCCTCGACCGCGCGCCTCCGCCGCAGCCCGAGAGCCGCCGGGACCGCCCCGACCCCGGGGGACGTCCAGGGCCCGCCACACGCGGGGCGAGGGAGGGGCGAGGATGCGCCGCCATCCCGAGGCCGCCCGCGGGGCAGAGCCCAAGTCGCCTGCGCGGGGACTGAGACGAACGCTTCCCGGGACCTCAGCGACGACACTCACCCATGGGCCGCTCGCAGGTCTCCCCGAAGGAGCTCCAGGACCAGCCGCGCCGGCAGCAGCGCCGGACATCCGGGCCACGGCCGCCGCGGCTCCGCCTCCCGGTAACCCAGGCGACCACCCGAAGCCCCGCCCCCGCGCTTCCCTGTGGCTGCCCCGAGGCCCCGCCCCTCTCGCGAGGAGCGGGCGGGCGGGCGGGCAGGCAGGCTGGAGGCTGGGGGCGCACGCGCGGCGGGCCGGCGGCGGGGCTTCCCGGACGCAGGCGATGGAGAGGCCGCTGGCGGCCCCTCGGCTGCCCCCGCACGGCCCGGGGACGCCGGCGCTGTCGGTGGTGGACATGCACACCGGCGGCGAGCCCCTGCGCATAGTGCTGGCGGGCTGTCCGGAGGTGGCCGGCCCCACGCTGCTGGCCAAGCGGCGCTACATGCGCCAGCACCTTGACCACCTGCGACGGCGGCTCCTGTTCGAGCCCCGGGGGCACCGCGACATGTACGGGGCCGTGTTGGTGCCTAGCGAGTTGCCGGACGCGCACTTGGGCGTCCTGTTCCTGCACAACGAGGGCTACAGCTCCATGTGCGGCCACGCGGTGCTGGCGCTGGGCCGCTTCGCGCTCGACTTCGGGCTGGTGCCCGCACCCCCGGCCGGCGCCCGCGAGGCCCGCGTCAACATCCACTGCCCGTGCGGGCTGGTGGCCGCCTTCGTGGAATGCGAGCACGGCCGCAGCCGCGGCCCAGTGCGCTTCCACAGCGTCCCAGCCTTCGCGCTGGCCACAGGTAAAGGGCGGCACCCTCCCAGCGACTAACCACACTGTCTGTCTGGCTTGGGACTCACGCGGTGCAATTAACCCACCCACGAGCCTTTGCAGTTAATAAAAGGATTCCTCAAGATCAATGCAAGTGTGTGTCGGCATCTTAGTCTTGCATACTTGTGCGAGGCGTGCAATTCGGTTACCGCGCAGATTAGTTCACCTTGATCTTGAGCCTTGAGAGCACAGAATTCCGTGTCTCCCTTATTCAGCGCCTGTTCCCCCACTTTCAGACATTCCTAGAGATTTCACAGTTGGGTAAGTCTGATCGGGGCAAGGAAAGTGCAAAGAACAGCTAGTGTACCAAGGTTCATGAGCTGCTTCAGAATACACTTAGTAGACGCTAACCCGAAATGTTACTAAACCCTGTCTTGTTTTCCTCACCTGTAAAAAGTGCCTTCCCCACTTCTTTGGGAAAGAAATAATGAATGAATGAACTAGGCAGTTTATAAATTAGGGACATACAGATGTTGCTGCCTTTTTTTTTTTTTAATTCACTCATGATAGACATAGGGAGAGAGCGGGGGGCAGAGACACAGGCAGAGGGAGAAGCAGGCTCCATGCAGGGACCCCGACGTGGGATTCGATCCCGGGACCCCAGGATTACGCCCTGGGCCAAAGGCAGGCGCCAAGCCTCTGAGCCACCCAGGGATCCCCTGCTCTTACTCTTTAAGAACAGGAACAGACATTGAGTCCAAATCCTGACAACCCCTTAAAGCTAATAAAATTACTAACCTCTATGTGCCTATGTTTTTTCATTTGTTATCTCATTGAGTTTTTGGTGAGAAATTAAATGAGAGCATGCAAGATACTTAGAAATTTAAAAAGTACATTCCTAGTGCCAGAAAGACTACAGGAAATACAGGTTTGCTAGTTAAGAGTTCTGCAGGTGTGCTGACCCTTTAAAAAGTTTTGGTGGGTTCCCTAGCACAGAGCCTAGTCATGTAAAACAGGATGTATGTAACTATAACCCTTACAAAGAGGGAGATCTCTCCAAGGTAGTCATTATTGGAAGTGACCTGGAAGCTAGTTTGGTCAATTCAGGAATAGGGTTATCACTTCTCGTAAGTCTTCAATGCATGCAAATCATTCTATTAGATTTTTTTTATTTCAAGTTTTTATTTAAATTTTAGTTAACATATGATGTAATATTGTTTCAGAAGTAGAATTCAGTGATTCATCACTTACATTTAACACCCAGGACTCATCACAAGTGCCCTCCTTAATACCCATCACCCATTTAGCCTATCTCCCTATCCACCACTTCCCCTCCAACCCTGTTCTCTATAGTTAAGAGTCTCTTACAGTTTGCCCCTTACTCTTTTAACTTTCCCCTATGTTCATGTGTTTTGTTTCTTAAATTCCACATATGAGTGAAATAATATGGTATTTGTATTTGACTGATTTCACTTAGCATAATACACTCTAGCTCTATCCACATCATTGCAAATGGCATCATTTGCAAAAAGATTTCATTCTTTTTGATGGCTAAGTAGTATTCCATCGTGTATGAATATACCACATCTTCTTTATACATTCATCAGTTGATGGACATTGGGTTCCTTCCATTACTTAGCTATTGTTGACAATGCTGCTATAAGCATTCTATTAGATCTTGATCTTTCTTGAGGATTTGGATTCTAGATTAGCCTGATCAAGAATGATGCAGTAATAGCGCAGGCATTTGTCAGTCTTAGGGCAACCTCAGACAGCTGAAACACACAAGTTGATGAAGAATTCTCCTGCAGAAATTGATGGCACTTTGACCTCTAGGAGAGAATGGCATAATATCTGCATTGGGGGCAGGGGAGGGGGGAAATGGCACTTGAGATAGACAGGAGTTTGTTTAGGATTGCATCTCAAAAATCTCAGCAGTTTAAATACTTTAACTATCCTATTTCTTCCTAGGCAACCCCAGCAGCAGACTGGAAGCACTCTAGATTTGTGGGAAATGACAGCTAGCAGTAGGATTACCAACTATATCATTTTTCAGGGCTGGTTGGGGCAGGGCAGCCGATCTGTAAGCACAGTGGCTACTGAGAGCATCACTGTGAGACTATACAATAGTCAGTGAGCAGTAATGGTCACTCTGAGTCATTAAAAAAAAGTCCTAAATTCTCTATTTTGAAAAATGCTAAAAGGGTAGACTGATAGTGTTCAGGGTCACTGCTCTGCCCCTCTTCATCATGATGACCTTGTGAAAGGGATCCCATGCCTCAAGATCATCATCTACAAAATGAAGATGACAACAGTACCCACCTCAGAGGATTGCTGAGTTCATTTCCATTCCAATGTGCTAAAATGAAAACTACTTAGTTTTGTTACTGTATTCAAGTGCTAGAACAGTAGGTAGTCAATTAATATTTGTTGAATGGTAACTAAATAAATGAAATTGGGAGAAGAATATGGTAATTAGCAAATGAAATTATCCTCTTAAGAACCTTATCCTGGGGTGCCTAAGGCTCAGTTAAGTGTCTGCCTTCTGCTTAGGTCAGGACTTCAGGGTCTTGGGATGGAGCCTGCTTCTCCCTCACCCTCTGCTCCTCCACCCTGCTTGTGCTTTCTCCCCCTCATATAAATAAATATAAAATAATAAAATAAATAATAAATAGGAACCCTATTCCGATTGGAAATTAAACTTTTGGCCTTACTATTAACATTAATGTGCTCCTGATTTGTGCCAAGCACACCCCACACATTATCACATGGAATTCACACCACAGTCCTTTCAGGAGTGAATAGCAGTTCCATTTTACACACAAATACACCAAAGCACACTTAGCTTAGCTTTCCAAGCTTCCAGCAGCTCCTTATCTCCATCTGCTTCCTCATACTCCTTTCATTAAGTCTGATTTTTATGTTGCACCAGCATCAAGATAAAGGCATGTTTCATTCATGGTTGCTCTTTTACTTTTACAGGCATATTTTACCTTCTTCATTATAAACTTGCTCTGTTTTGACACATCATTTGTTAAAAGGACTCTGGGCTAGCCTGGAACTGATAAGTATATATAACTTACACAGAAAAATCTTTTTTTTTTTCACTTTGTTTTGACATTACAGTTGAAGAAAGCCAATTTGTGAATAGGATCAAAAATCCTATATTCAACAATTCCTAGCAGTATGAGAGTGGACTTACAATTTCCTTCATAGTTTTCACAGCTTGATGTCCCAGGATTTCTCTTCTCTCTGCCTCTATGAGGTTTCCTAGCAAAGACCTTCAGAGTAGTTAACAAAATAAGTATATATGATTTAAGAAAAACATGGCATTAGATGTTCTAAAACTTATGCAAGCATCATTAAGTTAAAAATCAATGCACTGGGGATCCCTGGGTGGCGCAGCGGTTTGGCGCCTGCCTTTGGCCCAGGGCACGATTCTGGAGACCCGGGATCGAATCCCACATCAGGCTCCCGGTGCATGGAGCCTGCTTCTCCCTCTGCCTATGTCTCTGCCTCTCTCTCTCTCTCTGTGACTATCATAAATAAATAAAAAAATTAAAAAAAAATCAATGCACTCAGCTAAAGGTCTATTATCATTTGATGCTTTCTCATTTTAAAAATGAAGTTGTGCTTCATTCCTTTTTATGATAGGAAAAAGTGCCCCTCCACCAAAATACACATATTAAAAATGCTGTGCATCGTATTGCCAAAAGACTATAAACAAACTTATTTTCAAACATATCTTTTTTAGATCTCTTAGTGAATATTCCTGGTCATGGAAAGATGGCGGTAGACATTGCATATGGTGGGGCATTTTATGCATTTGTTAGTGCTGAAAAGTTAGGCCTTGACGTTTGTTCTGCAAAGACAAGGGACCTTGTGGATGCTGCGAGCACAGTGACAGAAGCAGTCAAAGCTCAGGTCAGTAAAAACACTGCTTTCATAACAAGTGCTCTCCTCTGTGGCAGAGAAGAAATATAAATTACATGTCTACACAGAAAAGTTAAATATCTATATATTTAAATTATTAATAGTACTAAAAGCAAGGTACTGGTTACAATCTTGGGCTCTATAGCAAGACTATCTGGAAGTCTTATGTGCAAAGGACTTAGTATAGTGCCTGCCTATAATAAATGGTCAATAAATAACTTATTAACTTTATATACATAGTAGTGTAATTTGTAGTTATTCACACACAGAAAATGTATCAAAAAGCATTTCACTAATTTGAAACACATATGCTTTGCTTTATGTGGTCATTCTGCAAAACTTGCAAATAATAAATGTCAATTATAGATCACAAAATAGATTTCATTAAATCTGATCAGACTGTCTCTAGATGTTCACGGTCTGATTCCTCTACCTTATCCCCTTCAAGCTCCTGAAAGTGAGTGTATGACTGCCATCGCCTCTCCTGTTTGAGCAGCCATGGCCAGTCTGTAGCTTAACCATCCTGGGGTCAGTGCTTCAGAGAGTGTGAGCATTTGAAGTGTGTATGTGTATAAAATAGGACTGTTCCTTTAGTAGAGGCTATATGCAGGACAAATTCCTTAGAAAGGACTTAAAGTTTGAAAAGAATCATAACTTCAATAAAACCATGTTTATTTATCTAGACAAAGACATCATTTACTGCCTTGACTCAAAAGGTGTTTTTAAAATGAGAGTTAAAAGTTAAGTCTAAGAGTGTCCCATCTACATTATTTATAAAAATAAGTTTGAATCAAAATATTTATTTTACATGTACTTTTACATGACAATTTATATATGATACTTTTTTATTATTTGTAGTTTAAAATTAATCATCCTGAGAGTGAAGACCTTTCCTTTCTGTACGGAACTATATTAACAGATGGAAAAGACACTTATAGTGAGGAACCAACCACCAACATCTGTGTGTTTGCAGATGAACAGGTATTAAAACTGTAATGTTTGGGACAAAAGCCAGAGTACAGACCTGGAACACTGTGAACACTCTTATCTTCATTTATTCTGAAACAGGTTGACAGAAGTCCTACTGGCTCAGGAGTGACAGCCCGAATTGCCTTACAGTATCACAAAGGCCTTCTAGAACTGAACCAGACCAGAGCCTTTAAAAGCAGTGCAACTGGCTCAGTATTCACAGGGAAGGCTGTGAGGGTGAGTGACGCCCTTAGCTTCTTACTTGTGTGTTACTTTGGAAACTGAAGAGGTCTGAGTTGGGTGTTCAGTAAGTTTCACTCAGCTCTGAGAAGAAAACTTTAAAGCAGGCCTGTAAAAACTTCTGTTCAGCTACAACTGTGGATCGGAAACTGTGGGCGTCCCTAAGGTCCTTTCCAAAGGTCCACAAGGCCAAAACTTGGTATGCATTAACATTAAGACATTTGTTTTTCACTTTCATTGTCACATGAGTGTACCATGGAGCTCTCCAGAGGCTACATGATAGGTGACAGCCCAACCCAGTTTCCTAATCTAGTAACTGACATTTAATCATAAGATTTAGTTAACCTCATGTTTAAAACTTAGGAAGTGAGGGGCACCTTGGTGACTCAGTTGAGCATCAGACTCTTGGTTTCAGCTCAGGTCATGATCTCAGGTTGTGAGCCCCTCCAGGCTCCATGCTCTCAGCAGGGAGTCTGCTTCTCTCCCTTTCCATCTGTCCCTCCCCCACTCACACTCAAGTGCTCTCTCTCTCTCTCTCTCTCTCTAATAAATAAATATTTAAAAATATTAAGAAATAAAAGGATACTCTGTAAATAAGATTTGAAGTTACTTCTTTTATAGTTAATAATCCTACTTGATGGGACAGCTTCACCCACACCACGTGCCCTCCCTCTCTGTCCAGACTCTTCCAAGCTCTTGGATGGTACCTTCTCAGTCTCTTCCCCTGCCCCTCTCCCTGTCCCTGTCCTTCCACTTATGGGTCCCCAGCATTTCAGCCTTAGTTTCCTTCTCATCTCATCTGTATTTTGATGCCACTGGGCAATTTCACCCGCTTGTGAGGCTTCAACCCACTCCCAACCACCCCGATGATGACTCCCAAACCTTCATCCCTCCCATGCCTACTGTGTGCCTCTCTCCTGAGTCTAACGCTCGTATTCCCAACTGCCCACCAAACTCATCTCAAAATGACTGTTATAAAGTTCTTCCTTCCCCCTGAACATGCTCCTCCCATCTCATTTCCTATCTTGATTAATGGCAGTACCTGCCTCACTTCCCAACTAGGAGCTGTGCCCATGCTGAGCCCATTCTTCCTCCTCACCTCCCACACATGCTAGTCCCTGGGCCAACCAGTCCTGCCTGCAAAGTAGCTCTCTTCTCTTCTTCTTCATCCTCCCTAAAATCTGTCCTCATGACTCTAGAGTCAGTCAATGAATGAAGGTTACCTCTGAAGAAGTTTCTAGGTTTCTAATTGCTTTCCTCTCAGATTTATTCTCATTTTACAGCTAAACTTAGCTAAACACAAACCTAATCATGTCACTCTCCCTAAAAACCTTCCATTACCTACAAGATCCACCCTTGAGTTTTCTTTAAAATGGTAGAAATCAAGATGATGATGACTTTTGGGCCAGACAGAACATGAGTGCAGTATTTTGGTATTATACTCCTTTCATCTTTTCTCAGGAAGCAAAATGTGGGGATTTTAAAGCTGTTATCGTGGAAGTCTCTGGACAAGCCCATTACACAGGTACAGCAAGTTTTATAGTGGAAGATGATGACCCTCTGAGGGATGGATTCCTTCTCAAGTGACTTCTTCAAGCTTTTCAGGGCTTTTCTGAATGATGTGGAAAATGATATGAAACTGTATGATTTCTTTCTAAAATATTATGCTGTGACTAAATATAATCATTATACGTGCACATGTAATTGGTATAAATGCCACTTAGGTCTAGCTTTTAAAATGCTGAAAATTCAGAATATTTTTGTAGTTATTAACATATCAGGTAAAATTCATATCTTAGTCCCGTTACTTTTTAAGTATTACACTATGCCACTTACTGTAATAGTTTGTAGACGCTCTTTGAATAATAGTTTGAATTGTAGCCCTCATAACAATGACTCTTACAAGTTCATTATTTTAGTCTTCCAGTTTTTGAGTCAAATACATCCTATCCTGTACATAGGATGTCATGTACATCCAACATGGGCAGGATGTAAGGAGGATGGATTATTATAAGGTACTCAACATTTAGCATACATAGCCTGGGAAGAATTGGGGTGGCTCAGCTTCTTTGGATAGATGTCACTTACAGCTGCTCCCAGGATGTTCTGTGGGCTGCAAAGTCCAGCTCCTACTCCAAGGTAACTGAAGTGCCATAAGCTGATGTGAGAAGACCAATGAATAATCAGACGTTTGTTATATCTTTAAGGCTCTTATAAAAGGGTTTGTGTCATTACTGCATTATAAACACAGTGGGAATCAATGAATAAACTACAGTAGAGTGAGTCTCATACACTATCAACTACGTGCCAGATTTAAAACTTGAAATAAATGTTAACTGTTAATTTTTGCTAGCTAATTGTCTGTGAACCTGTTAAAAATAAATTGGATCACTCAGTTAAGTGTCTTACTCTTGATTTTAGTTCAAGTCATGATCTCACACTTGTGAGATGGAGCCCTGAGTCAAGCTCTGCACTTAGCATGGAGTCTGCTTGAGATTTTCTCTCTCCCTCTGCTCTTCCCTGCACTCTCTAAAATAAATAAGTAAAATCTTTAAAAATAAATAAATAAAATGTGATCATTTTTCAGTCACTATAAAATGAAGTATTAAAAAGTTATTCAATATGTGATGCTCCCAATAGTCAGTAGACTCCTGTGAAGTATTTTTTTCTGAGCATACAGAAGCTAATAAGTAATTAATTTTAACTGGTTTCATCATCAGTTATTAAGTCTGTGATTGAATTACCAGACTAAAATGAAAGCTTTAGAGCTTTGTAACTTTATAGTTAATGTTCTTGATTTCCCTATTATACAAAAACTAACGTTTTCCACTCATTTTCTATAAAATTCTGTGGTAAAGGTACCATTTATCCTCAAAAATGACACTACCACTAGTTTACTATGGGTAAGAAATTTTGTACACATTAGGGAGATTTGCTGTACTTTCTTTGTAAAATGAAAACAGAGGCAGCCCAGGTGGCTCAGTGGTTTAGTGCTGTGCCCAGGCATAATCCTGGAGACCCGGGATCGAGTCCCACATTGGGCTCCCTGCATGGAGCCTGCTTCTCCCTCTGCCTGTGTCTCTGCCTCTCTCTGTCTCTCTCTGTGTCTTTCATGAGTAAATAAATGAAATCTTTAAAAAGTAAAATGAAAACAGAATTACTATTTTCTCTCCAAATTTCACAAGTCATAATAACTTATCTATGTTAAAAAGTAGATATTGCCCATATTTTCCTAAATTCTAATCCAAACCGGAGTGAAACCCTCGCAGTGATATTCACCTCTTCTGTAGGTCACCATCTCTCTTGGAGTCAACACTAGGGAAATGAACTCCCCTGCCCACCCCACACCTCCATGTGACTAACCAGTCACAAAGCCCTACTTGAGTCTACCTTCTAAATACTGCTCACAATTATCCTTTCCCATCCTTGGAAGGGTCTTTCCTTGTCAATTAACCCCTTTCAAGCCAACCTGCTTCCCCTCACTGATCTCTCAGCTCTAGGTACTTAAATGTGCTTGTCATAAACAAAATGACACAAACTTCCTTTGTCTGCTTCCGTCTCTAGTTTGCTGTCACCCGTTTCCTTCCCTTTGTAGTCAAATTTCTACATTCCTGACACTCTGCTCATTGGGTACATTTTCTTCCATTTGTTATTTGACTATTGTCATTTGGTTTCTACCTCATTATTCATTGGAAATTATGCCTGACCTACCTAACTGCCAGATCTAACAGTCACCTGGGTTTTTACCCAATGCATGGTGGGTGCTGCCGCACACTTCTGGCAGGGAAGTGTGGTACATTTTATTTTATTTTATTTTATTTTTTTTCAAGGTGTGGTACATTTTAGAGCAAACACCTCCATGCCCTTGGTGCTGGGTCAGTCACAGAAACACTGAAGCTCTCAAGGTCACTAGATTAGTACCCAGTCTTCATTAGTACCCACCAGTGCTGCATCTGGGTGGGCCCAGGGCCATCTCCTCATCACCATCAAGTTGCAATGAGTTTTGCTCCAAGTCCTCTAGAGACTCCATAAGAGTTGGGGCACCCTCCTCTTCAACTCCTAAAACCCACAAATTCCATACCATCCCTCCTTAGGATGATGTGCCTCATACATGTGGGTATGAATTACTTGGGGATCTTAAACTAGATTCACATTTATTAGGTCTGGGGCAGGGGTGGGGGGGCAGTTCTAGCAAGCTCCCAGGTGATGCTGATGCTACCGGTAGGACTGCATCTGAGTAGCAAAACTTCTTTAACCAATTTATTTTACCCATTTGGATCTAAGCTTTACAGATGAGCCTTCTTTTCACTCTAAAAGACATGAGGAGCCTATTAGCTCTCCGCCTGGAGGTGACCTCATGGTCACAGCAACTTTCCTGAGAAGAGGCTGAGAAAATGACCTTACTTTGAAAAGCAAAACAAAATGAAAATCCAAAACACAAGTCCTCTGACTTCTCAATTGGCCCGTATGCCTCATTAAATATTTCACTCATCTGCCTGGTTTTCTCCCTTTACCTGCTTCTTAATTTTTCTCTACCCCCTCACATTCCACCCAGGGTTCTTCTCCCTCTTCACTCAACCCCCTGTCCCTAACCATCACATTCATGCCCATGCTTTTAGAGAGAGGCTGACAACTTCCAAATCTCTAAATTCTAAGGTCTAGAGCCATACTGCAGGTCTACTAGTTGGTGGACAAGTCAAACTCATCCGCCTCCTAAAATGTGCCCCACCTCCTGTATTCTCTGCCCTGATGAATGGTACTCCCAGCTCTCGAGCCAGGAACTCACGATTTATCCTTGGCTCCTTGTTCATGCCCTTTCGTCTTTCTGCAGATGTCTGTGGATTCGGCAAGCATCATTCTCTTCCCCTAACTTTAGCAACAACACTCACTTTTTCCTGTGGAAAACTACCCATCCCTTGCATGCAGCCTTAGCTGGGATGGCCAGATTCTTTCTCGCTGGACCTGGGATCTTGAGAGAAATGACAGAAAGTCTGAAAAATGGCTGAAGTAGACTTAGTCCAATAGTGCTTTAAAGAGATCACCTTCAATTAGTTTCTGCATCTCTACCTGCTATCTCTGCCCTGATTTCTCTTGTTCTTGGGGCTAGCAGTTAGATTTTTCTTTTGTAATTTGAATGCCCTCTATCCTTCCAATAAATGCCTTTTTTGCTTAAGTGAGATAGTGCCCTGTTTATATTGCTTATATCCAAAGACACTAGTCCATATACTACCTCCTTAAAATCTTTTCTCCTTCTTCACTATGCCTTAATTCAGAGTCTTGTCATTTCTCCTCTGGGTATTACAGTGACTTTTCTTTACTGGTCTCCTTGTTGCCAGATTCTCCTACGGTGAGGAAGAGGAATTAAGGTAGAAAGGAGTCTAAGTTTTCACCATATAAGCCTGATAGAAGATAGGGCCATTTTCGGAGACACAAAACATTGAGGACCAAGGGTTTTTAGGGAAAGTAGATCATAAGTTCCATTTTGGTCATGTTGAGTTTGGGTACTTTTGCACATCCAGGGAAGATGCCACATAACAAGCAATAGGGTAGGCAGCCCTGGTGGCTTAGCAGTTTAACACCGCCTTCAGCCCAGGGCGTGATCCTGGAGACCCGGGATCAAGTCCCACATTGGGCTCCCTGCGTGGAGCCTGCTTCTCCCTCTGCCTGTCTCTCTCTCTCTCTGTCTCTAATAAATAAATAAAATCTTTAAAAAAAAATTAAAAAACAAGCAATAGGGCTTAGGCAAGAGATATAATATGGAATTATGAATATATAATTTTCAAACTCTGGGTGTAGGATGAGGGAGGCAGTTCAGAGCTGCCAAGGACCAGGCCTTGATGGACTCTAACATTTAGAGGCCGATGATGGGGGGTGAACAGACAGGGGGCATTGAGGCAAACAGGGCAGGCAGAAAACTAGGAGTGTGTGTGAGGTCCCTCCCTCTTGTCTTTCTGAACCATACCTGACCATGGCCTTCCTGTGCTTCCAGCTCCTATTGATCAATGGCTAGTGCCAGCACCCTATCCACCCCAATGCAGTTCAATCTGTAACGTGGCACGTAAAGTGTAAGAGCGTGCCAATCAACCTTTATCATTTGTCATTTTATGATTTATTTCTCTCTTCACTCCCTAACCTCACTCACCAGCCACCCAAGAGTCAGGTACTCAGGCAATGACCTTCAGACTTTGCACGGGAATCAAATGTCCTTCCCTGTCTTCTCTTTTTGGAGAGTCCAATGTCACCACTTGTGTGAAGTCTTCATCAGCTACCCGAAGAAAAGTCAGTCACCTCAATAGAATTTCATTATATTTTTTTAACAACACCTATGATATTGTAATATATTTGTGTTTGCCTAATACTGTAAGCTTCTTTGGGCTGAGATCCTTGTTATCTCTGAAAACCTAGCACAGAGATTTGCTAAGTAAATTCATCTATTATATATTTTCATCTTAATTCAGTGGTTCTTGGTTGTGGTCATCCTCTCTTCCTCAGGGACATTTTTGTCACTACTGCCATGTTGTGGGTAGAGGCTAGAGACACTGCTAAACATCCTATAATGCAATACTATAATGCATTAGTTTGCCACCTTAAACTTCTATTCATACTGCAAATTTCCAGTAAGATAATTTTTCCTTACTGAAATAAGTATCCCAAGCACTAATACCAGTGCATTCTAAGATCTGCAGATGTACTGGTCATTCTTTAGAGCAGTGTTTCTCAAACTATACTGTGCATCAGAATCACTTGCAGGGCATATGGCTGGGCCCCACCCCCAGAATTCAGATTCAGTAGATTTCAGGCAGGGCCTCAGAATCTGCATTTCTAACAAGGTCCTAGGTAATGCTAATGCTGTTGGTGTAGGGTCCAAATTTTGCAAACCACCGTTTTAGAGAATGTAAGGGTTTATCACATTTTCCCCCTTTAGAGGCTATGCTCAGAAACTTGGGATGCAGCTTTCCTGAGCAGGTGGGACCTTTTCTGTTCCTGAATCTCCCAGCGAGATACCAGGAGCTGCATCAGTGGTGACTCCCTGGGTGGTAGTAGTTTAGACCCAAAACATACTACATTCCAGAGGTCTGAGGAAGGCTGCCAGGAGGGCAAGGAACCAGTGGCTCTCCACCCTCCTGCCCCCATGTGTGAACCAGTAATGGTCCTAAGGTCTAGGCCCTTGAAAACAAGATGACATGCTGCCTCCTGGACCCATATCCTAGCTCCTCAGAGAAACTGTATCAGAATTACCCGTGCTGTTTAGATTCATGGGCCCAACCTCAGTAATCCTCGCAGTCAGCCAGTGAGTGTGCACTTTAATAAGCTCACTACCTTAGTGGTTCTCAAAGTGTGGTCCTCAGACCAGCAACATCATCATCACTACCTACAAACTTGTTAGAAATTTAAATACTGGACAGGACCCCAGACCTACTGAACCTGAAACTTGGGTTAGGCCCAGTCACTTTTTTGTTTGTTTGTTTGTTTGTTTTTAAGATTTTTAAAACTCTATTTACTCATGAGAGACACAGAGAGGTGGGGGTGGGCAGAGACACAGGCAGAGGTAGAAGCAGGCTCCATGCAGGGAGCCCGAGGTGGGACTCGATCCTGATCCCGGGTCTCCAGGATCACGCCCTGGGCCAAAGGCAGGCGCTAAACTGCTGAGCCACCCGGGGATCCCTCTAGACCCAGTCACTTGTATTTTAACAAGCCCCCTCTACCTGATGCTGTTGCACGCTCCAGTTTGAGAACACCTGGTTTGTATTATCCTGCCCCTAAAGTTGAAATCTCCGGATTTGGACTGTTTTTCACTTCGGGTTCTAGATGGCTTTCCTGCCTGCCTGCAGGTGCCAGAACCGTCAGCAGGAAGCAGGAGGTCCCCAACAGAGGCCTCCTTGTAGGACATCTGTGACCAACGAGACGGATGGAGAGTGAACCCTTGTCGAATGCGGTCATTTATATGACGGCGGGTCCCGCTCTTCCTGGCCCTCTGGAGGGTCCTCTGGAGGGTGCGCCTGGTCCCCTCTGGGGGGGCCCCGCCCCGCCCCCCCCCCGCTGGCGGGCTAAGCTCGGGGCGGGGATGCGGCGGGCCGGCGTCTCGGAGGCCCTGGGCCGGCGGCCCGCCCCGCGCTCCTGCGTAAACGCCGTTCCCCGGGCAACGCCTGGAAGCCACGTCAGAGCACCGCCGGGTCCCAGGCGACCGCCGAGCCCGACTCCCGGCAGAGGCCTCCGGCCCGAGCCCCAGGCCAGCCCCCCCCCCCCCCGCGGGCTGGCGGCCGCCTCCCCCGGTGCGGGATGAACGCCGCCGCGGCCGCCGCGGGGCCCCATGGAGGAGCAGCCGCCGCCGGTCCGCCCGCCCGCGGGGATGGCCTTGTCGGGCAGCCCACGCCCCGGTGTCCCCTCCGCGGTCGGCGCACCTGGCGGGACTTCCTCCGCCGCGACGGCTGCCGCCGTGCTCTCCTTGAGCACCGCGGCCACCGCGGCCACCGCGGCGCTGGGGAACCAGAGCGATGGGGGCGGGGGCGACAGCACGGGCGCCTGGGCGGGCGGCGGGGGCGGCGGGGGCGGCGGGCCCCGGGCGGCGGGGAGGCCCCCGCCGGGCCCCGAGGCGGCGGCGCCGCTGCTGTCGCACGGGGCGGCGGTGGCGGCGCAGGCGCTCGTGCTCCTGCTCATCTTCCTGCTGTCTAGCCTGGGCAACTGCGCGGTGATGGGGGTGATCGTGAAGCACCGGCAGCTCCGCACCGTCACCAACGCCTTCATCCTCTCCCTGTCCCTGTCGGACCTGCTCACGGCGCTGCTCTGCCTGCCCGCCGCCTTCCTGGACCTTTTCACGCCGCCGGGGGGCTCGGCCCCCGCCCCCGCCGCCGCCGCCGCCGCCGCCGCCGCGGGGCCCTGGCGCGGCTTCTGCGCCGCCAGCCGCTTCTTCAGCTCGTGCTTCGGCATCGTGTCCACGCTCAGCGTGGCGCTCGTCTCCCTGGACCGCTACTGCGCCATCGTGCGGCCGCCGCGGGAGAAGCTCGGTCGCCGCCGCGCGCTGCTGCTGCTGGCGGGCGCCTGGCTGGCGGCCCTGGGCTTCTCCCTGCCCTGGGAGCTGCTCCGCGCGCCCCGCGCGCCCCCCGCGCCCCCCGCGGCGCAGAGCTTCCACGGCTGCCTGTACCGGACGTCCCCGGACCCCGCGCAGCTGGGCGCGGCCTACAGCGTGGGGCTGGTGGTGGCCTGCTACCTGCTGCCCTTCCTGCTCATGGGCTTCTGCCACCACCACATCTGCAAGGCGGTGCGCCTGTCGGACGTGCGCGTGCGGCCCCTGACCACGTACGCGCGCGAGCTGCGCTTCTTCAGCGAGGTGCGCACGGCCACCACCGTGCTCGTCTTGATCGTCTTGGTGGTCGGCTGCTGGGGGCCCCACTGCTGCCTGGTGCTGCTGGCCGCGGCCCGCCAGGCCCCGGCGGCGCAGGCCCCCTCGGCCCTCAACGTGGCGGCCGTCTGGCTGACCTGGGCCAACGGGGCCATCAACCCTGTCATCTATGCCGTTCGCAACCCCAACATTTCCGTGCTCCTGGGACGCAGCCGGGAAGAGGGCTACCGGACTAGGACCGTGGACGCCTTCCTGCCCAGCCAGGGCCCAGCCCTGCGGGCCAGGAGCCGGAATCGCCTTGGAAACCGCTGTGCCAGCCGGCTGCGAGCTCGCAGCGGCAGGTCATCTTCCAGCCCTGCCAGCGGGATGGGGGGGGACGTGGCCATGTGGGCGCGAAAGGACCCCGTCGTGCTTTTTTGCAGGGAGGGCCCCCCGGGGCCTGTGACTGCAGCGGTCCAGCAGCCGAAGCCTGAAGGCGGGGATGCCCGCCTCTAAGAAGGCTCGGGATGCATAGCTGGTGAAGGCACATTTTCCACCTGCTGCGTTTAACGATGCAGGATTCCGGGGGAGAATCGTGTATTTCATGAAGGCAAACATTAAAAAAAAAAAGAAAGAGAGAGAGACCAAGGGGGAGGCTTACCACTTCCCCCAAACAACATAGGAGACAATGTGCCCTTCTTCAAAAGTGCCAAATGTAAAATGCAAACATTAAAACAATATCAAACCACACAACCAAGCATTGTGAACTGTAAGTGCCAAAAACGACAAAAATAGAATTCACGATTACCGCTAAGCTCATATTACAGGCATCACACTGTGAAATGAACAAACAAAAATCATTGAATGCCACCAGGATTTGTCTAAATGCAGAGTTTCAGGAAGGAATGGAGATCTTCAGGATTACTTGAAGGGCCCTCTAAATCACCAGCATTCAACAAAACTTGAGATTTTAGAACTTGCACCTTTGAGACATGCTTTGGCTGCTTAGGTTAGGAACGAAAAATTCTTATCTTTACACACTCTGGTGTACTTCCCTCCCATCCCATGTCCCTGTGATTTTTGTGGGAAATTTTATACTCATATCCCATTTTAAACCATTTTAGAATTTTGAAATTGTGTCTTGTTGCCATAAAATCGACCATCTGAAGGGCAAGTAGAAGTATGAACATAAAGAAATGTGGCTGTTGAAAACTGTATACCAAAATTATACCTTACCCTTACTCTCACTTGCTACTTTTGTCTCTAATCACTCTGAGATGCCGTTCTCAGAGTACTTTCACATTAAAAAGAAATAACTTGCATAGTACAAAATCTTTGCCTTTTGAGGTAAATTTGATTTTTGCATCCAAAAATTTAATTTGAAGTCACATTGATTGAATCAGGTGAGTAATGCCACTTTTATGTATATAAAAAATGAGAGCTCTGTAAAGTAACAAGATTGGTTTTCCTCTGTGGCTTACCAACCCAAGATGATTACAGAAAACTCTAGAGCTATTCTGAGAAGTGGTTGTATTCTTAGAATAAGCATAGTGCTTTCCATGGGCATTATACCCTCCTACATGTGGAAATTTGGGTATATTTGTAATAAAAAAATGAATACTTGCTTTTATAGACATGATTTGTCTAAAATAATGTGGTTGTTATTAGAAAGGGAGAATAGATGTAGTATTATTACATGTAATAGGGTGTTAATAATTTGGGTATGAAGTCAGAAAGAAACTTCAAGCTGGAAATGTTTTCAGAAATGTGCAAAACAAAGATGCTTTTTAAAATTCAAAGGCACAGTTCAGGATTTGTGTGTGTGAGATTTCTCACAGTAAATGCCATTATTCACAGAATCATTTACTCAGAATTTTAAAAGCTATTTTTGTTTTCTCCCTCTTTCCTTTCCTCCACTGTGCCTCTCTTCTCTTCAGCATTTCACAGCCTTACTTGAATAAGTACTTTAAACTAGATATGGAATGACATCAGCTATCTCATAATGATTTCAATGTGAAATAGCCACGTTTTTTTTCCTTGTATTTAAATATTTTGATGAGTATTTAAACTTTGGTGTAATAAATGGGTGTATGTCATTATTTTGTAATCAAGGATGGAAATACATGATTCATGTCAGAGCTAAAGATATTTAATTTTTTCTCATGCTCAAACATAAGTTTATAAATTATCTGTATATATCTTGCCACACTCAATATAGACAAAGTAGATGAGATCATCTCTCCTCTTTAGCACTCATTATATATATACAGACTTAATGCAGCTGAACTAACATTTAACAAATATCTATAGTATTTGCCTATTAAAGCAAAACAATTGTGTATTTTTTGGCCTTCTGAGAAAATGGAAGTCATGTCTGGCATTTAGGAAGAAATGATAAAGTCTTCCAGTTAGGAAAGCTATCAGAGAATAGGAATTCAGCGACAATGAGTAAAGTTAGGGATCGTAGGGGAAGGAGGCAAATGTGGTGCAAAATGGGATATTGCCTCAAAAGAAAAATCAAAGGAAGATATTTTAAAAATAAACATGGCATGGAATAAATAAACTTTCTTGGTGAGTGAAGGAAAAATCTGAGAGATTGCAAGTGACAAGGTGGTGGCATGAGAGACGTTAAGGCAGGAAAGGAAGCCCATCCTAACTCTTGGTAGGTAGTGGTAGGAAGTTTTAAGAAAGGGATGGCTTGAGGAAGAGACCATTCTGCCAGGAGCTGTAAGCGTCATGGTTGGCAAAAATGAAAGGGGAAAGAGAGAACAGTGCCAATAAGGTACTAAAAGAAATTACAGTGTTGTTTGCTTGTTTGTTTATTTGAAGCCATACAACTAGTCAGTGATAGAACTAGGCCACAGTCTGTCCAGACTTGGGAGCCCTGTATTCTCTTCTCTGCCCTCTGTTACTCCCACAAAGGTCAGTGGATAGGGAAACTAAGGATGAGAACTTGGGGTACTATTATCTTCAGCAGCAGCAACATCATCACCTTTATTACCATAACCATCATCACCAGCACCACCATCGTCTTCCTCTCCACCACCATCACCATCTACAATTTTGATTTCCTATTTTATATCAGGCAACTTCCCTGGGTGCTAAGGCTACTTGGAGGTAGAAATCACAGAACCTGCTTTAACCGTCTAACTGGGGACCTTGTGCTTTGTAGCATTGGCCCTAATCAAGGACTCTACCTGCAGAGAAGAAAAGGTGTAGCATTTTCAGAGATGGTTCTCAAGGGAGACAGATTTAGAAGTGAAAGATAGGTCAAAGCCAGCAGCCAATTTGGTCCCTTTGTAAATACTTAGAGATAGAAATTAATGCCTTGAATAAAAGATGGAGAAAGAATGACTCTCAAAAATGTTTTAAGAATTTGTTTACTTTTTAACAGAGAGGGAGAGAGTATAAGCGGGGAGGGGGGGTGGGCAACAGAGGGAGAGGGAGAAGCAGGCTCCCCACTGAGCAGGGAGCCCAGTGGGGGGGGGGGGGCTCCATCCCAGGACCCTGGGATCATGACCTGAACCAAAGTCAGACGTTTAACTGACTGACCCAAGATGCCCCATGACTCTCAAATTTAAAACTTAGACTTTTCCTCATCTGACAAAGTGCACCATTACAGTGATTTTGTTCGAAAAGGAGAAGCTATATTAGGATGTATTAAATATTGCATAATACATCAAGGCCAGAATGTAATCCTTCCTGTCATATTCGGCTCCCAGTTTGAATGTTTCATTTGAATGACAATAACAGCAACAAGTCACATTCAGTCTAATACATACATTACCCTATCTGATCCTCAAAGCAACTCTTTAAGAAGGTGCTGTATTATCACTAGCCCCATTTTACAGATGAGAAAACTGAGGCACAGAGGTGCAATGTGATTTGCCTAAGGTTACACAGGAAGTGTGTGCCAGACATAAGATTTGTACCTTGCACCAATAAAAAATAAATTTATAAAAAAAAAAGGGGGGGGAAAAAGATTTGTACCTCACAGACTGGCGCCAGAAGTCCTGCCTTAACAACTGCACTGTGCTGTCTGTCTCTCTAATTTGCAAAAGAAAGTGGAAAACCTGGAAAAGAGCCAGACAAGGTAAAGACAATTATCAAAGGGATGGGGAAATAGATATAATAAAATGTAAAGGGAAGGATTTGATTTAGAGAACACTTGTATAAGAAATGTGATTTTAAAGTATATGAAGAAATTCTGAGCAGTTATTTTCTGATATAATCCCAGCCCTGAATGACCCAATCATCTGTCTTCTCCATTCTTGTTCCAGAGTAGTTGAGCACAACTGGAGGAAAGTCATAGATCAGATCAGTTAGTACCCTCTGCACCTAGAATCCAGCCCCTCTACCCTGCCCAGTAATTTGAAACTTTTTGCTCATCAGCTCACTCTTTCTGCTCACTTTAGTGACCTTTCAAACTTTCTCTGCTCAAACCATAACTGACCCCCCCAAAGATGAACTTTGCTCTTACTTCACCAGGAAAGTAGACACCATCATATTTTAGCCATAAAGCATTATAAACGACATTGCATTTATACCAGTCCTCAGCTCTGTCTTTCCAATAGTAAAGAAACGGGAGCTTTCTCCAGCCTCAGGAATCTCATGCTAGCCTCCCCTCAGCATCCTTAGTCTGGTACCCTTAGTCTTTCCCACCGAACCAATTCCTTCCCATGAGCCCATAAGCTCTCACTTAAAAGGAAAAACCCCCAAAGCCTCTCTTCTTCTTCCTTCCCTTTTCTCTCCCTCAGCTCGCTGTCTTCAGCTGAACTTGTCAAAAAAAAAAAAAATTGCCTATACTTTATAGCTGATCTAAATCCTAGTCTATGATTTTAACGGTGCAATAAAGTTGTCATTTTTATGCAATTCGATTTTTTCCTAATTCTCTCTTCTGCTGCATAGCAAATAACTTAAGATGGTGGCACCTAGGTGCTAGAGGCTTATTTAGCACCAAGCATTGATAACCATCAGTCCTCAGTGGTCATCCGTCTGCCCTGGCATCTGCCAATCAGTCTCCAGCCACATCCAAAGTTTGCTACATGATTAGCCCCAACTAAGTCCAGGAGGCTCCAGCTCTAACTGTAGACCACTTTAGAGCTCCTCTTTGAACATGAAAAAATTATTACTCCATCTCGGCATCATGGAGGGCTGTGCCACATCCACAGTGCTATCTCTGGATCTTTTTTTTTTTAAATCATTTTTAAATATTTTTGATTATTTGGTACTTTTTGGTGCTGTTGGGTCAACAAATCAAAATGATACATAAAGTATACATTGGAAAAAAATTAAAAAAAAATAAAGTATACATTGGGAGTTCCATTTGTGGAATGGCAGTGAGGATCTCTGTGGACCCACACCAGTGAAACAAGTATAATTGGTCAAAATTATTTAAAAAGCAACCATTTGAAGTCCCTGGCAATTGTCATAACAGCAGACAGCAAATGAAAAAACATTTATTCAAGAAAACCTACTGTAATTCAATAAGAAGACCAAGAGCTGGTGGCATCTGAATTATAAAGCCACTCGCTCTCCTTGCTCCCAGCCCAGTGTGACAGAAACTCCACTTCAGGCCAGTACAACCAAGTACATGGGGCTCCCTCTTTCCCAGCTCCCCGTTGAGGACTGGTATCTCCCTGGGAGGAACAGGCCAGGAGAACTTCTCATTTTTCAGCTACATGTTGCAGAGGCTCAATTCCAGGCGAGTGTAGCCAAGAGGTTATAAGTTCTCTTCTTCCACTCAACCTCCACTCCTAGGACAGATACTTGATCTCAGGGAAAGCGTGCTGGGAATACCGGGGTACTATTGTCCTCAACTCAGCTCATTTGTAGGATGGAGATCCCATGCTGGGACAGACAAGAAGACCAGAGGCTCCTGCCCACATGCAGTGCCTTGCTCCTAAAGCAGGGTGTCACTCCAAAAACTGTTGGCCACTGTCCCTGCCCCCAGCCTCAGAGCTCTGGCTCAGATAATTTGGCCAGGGGTATAGACAGGACTTTAAACAGAGTGCTAAGGCTCTCCCCAAAGCAACTAAATTTATGTGAAACAGAGTATGGGGAGGTCTAAGTCTAAGGGCATTCCCGACACAATGGAGTTTTGGTGGCTTATATATCTATATATGAGGAGGCTATTAGCTGCATCAGTGAGAGAAATGAGCTAAAACATTCTCCAGCTGGTTTACCAGAGAGAACCAGGGAAAGAAATAGCTAAGAAAAGCCTTGAATTACATTTGAGTTTTAAAAGTTCTTTGTTTTAGATAACAGTCTTTTATCTTTTGCAAGTATTTTTTCCCCCAGTCTATGGCTTATCTTCTCATTATCTTGGCCTTTTCAGCATAAACAAACAAACAAACAAACAAACAAAAACCATGAAATTTGACAGTTAAGACCATGACAAAAAGACAGAGTCATTCTTATCAATTAGAGTCTTCTCCTCCCCTAAGGGGAACTTTGGAAATTTGTGGGAGCATTTTTGGTGTCACAATGAAACTTAGTGAGTGGTGTCTAGGAATGCTAGATGTCTGGCAAATAACATAATACTGTCCAGTGAAGAACCGTCCCTTCATTCCAGACAGATTTCAAATGTCCCACCAGATGCTGAAACAGCTGAAAATCTATGAATCATTATTTAATTCCATACATTTAATCTGTTCTGCATAGAAACACAATATTTTGACTGTGGTTTTAACAGACACTGAAAAGTTCCCTGAAGTGCAACTGTTTCATAAATAGGAAATTTATTATATTTGTTCTATTTAGGTTTTTATGAAGCAATAGTCACCATTTTATTTTTTTAAGATTTTATTTATTTATTCATGAGAGACACAGAGAGAGAGGAAGAGACATAGGCAGAGGGAGAAGGCTCCATGCAGGGAGCCCGATGTGGGATTTGATCCCAGGACTCCAGGATCACGCCCTGGCATTAAACCGCTGAGCCACCCATGGCTCCCAACAGTCACCATTTTAGAAAGCTATATCACAACTTGCCACACTTCTCCAGGTCATGGATTGTGAAGAAAACACTAGGATCTGTCTGCATCTGTAGCTCTTGCAAACACTGTGATTCTACATTGAGGTATAAACATCCAACTACTTCACTTTGTGTGTTTTGCAGTAAAAAAAGAACTACTGGTGACAATAACAGATGGATGCTAGACATTTGGCCAAGAAAAAAATCTGCCTAATATGATCTCAAGGGTCCCCAGTACATGGGCCAGCATAGAGAAAACAATTGTCCCTTGTTCTCTCTCAAGGAACCTAAAAGTGTCACTGAAAATATTTTTAACTCTGCCTTACTTATGGCTGCAGGAGAGATGTCAGAGTTCACCCCTCTCTGGTGGTCCTTAACCCCTGCCCATTTCTGGATGTCAAGGGCCTAAGCCAAGTATCGTAGTTTCTTTTTTTTTTTTAATTTTTTATTTATTTATGATAGTCACAGAGAGAGAGAGAGAGAGAGAGAGACAGGCAGAGGGAGAAGCAGGCTCCATGCACCAGGAGCCCGACGTGGGACTCGATCCCGGGTCTCCAGGATCGTGCCCTGGGCCAAAGGCAGGCGCCAAACCACTGCGCCACCCAGGGATCCCAGTATCGTAGTTTCTTGACAGCACAATGACACACGCTCCCATTGTGAAGCTGGCAGGGGTTCTTAAACAGCTTTTCACCGGATTACAAAGCCTGAAATACTCTTAATTCCCCACAAGGAGGCTCCATTATCAAGTATAACAGTTTTCAAAGGAGTGGGAGAGGTGAGGGGAATACAACCATTTCTCAGGGTGTTTTAAACTCCCATAATCTTTAAATGCATTAACATTCTTACAGATTACAGTTCAGTTCTCATTCTCGTATAAAAAAGTCGTGTATCATCTTAGTGCTATGCAAAGCTAGGGAAAATGCGTCATGTACTAAGTCCACAACTTAAGCTGAGTATACAGAGCAAGACAAAGGGGGAGAAGATGGAGACTGGTAATTATAGGAACAAAAATTTAAAAGAAATTTCCTTACACTCAGTTATTACTTTGACCCAATAGTTGTCGCATAGGTTCAACTTTGGCTTTACAAGCCAAATAAGAAAAACTATGGCTAACATTATTTCCCTTAAGAAAGCAAACCATTCATTATTACCAGTTCAGCAGCTCTTTTCTTACTAACACATATGGCCATGGCATTGTTTTAATATCACTCTTTAAAATTAAAGTAGTGAATACTTCTTATTGGATGATGTAATATCTTAAAATATTGGTAGCAACATTTCTAAATGGCCATAAGTTTGACTAAATACATAATAAATAATTTTGCAATTAAGATTTTTCTCAATGTACGGCATT